TACAGCCTCAGTCCACAGTTATTAGGCTGTAACAACGTAACAGAGTTTTGAACAGCTAACTCATTTCCCACCAAATCCCCACCAGAGGAGAGTGCAGCGTCACAGATCTTTAATGAAGTTCTCACCACAGCAGGTTTAGTCTCTGGAGCCCTCTTATCTATTCAAACTCATCACAGGGCTCTGCTAACGCATGAAACATTTCTGTGCCCACAAGTTGTTCAAAACGAACATTCTTCAAAATAAATCCTGACGCTGAGCAGATTCAGTCGTCGTGGTGGTCTGCTGTGAAAGGGTCACTTACCTTGGCTGTGCACGAAGCCGTACAAAGAGAAGAGGATGACCAGAGTAGGACCCATGGCGCTGCGTGCTTCAAAAACGTGCTCGGAGGCTTTGATGGAACAGTTTCAAGATCAGAGAGAGTCTGGCTGAGCAGGAGTCGGGCGGGCGGCTGAGAGGTGCTGCTGGAGCCTCGCTTCAGAAAAGCCCGTCCAATTAGCGCGGTTAAGCGTGTTGGGGCAGAGCGCGTGGAGGGGGGCGGGCAGCACGAGTGACACGGACCCCGCTCTCCTGTCCCATCCGTTCACAGCTCGGAGCAAACACTGACCACTGTGCAGGCTATCAGCGCGGGCTCACAGGGCAGTGGCTCTGAAATACCGCCTTAATACCGCTCTTGATTGAACATGTTAAAGCGAGTTCATACGTCATGTACGTCAGCGTTTAAAGCGGTGTTTTTAACGTGGGTCTGTGTGGTACTGTCTCTTGGGGGCTTCCGTAGAGCAGCACGCTGCCGTTTCCCCCTCAGAACAGTCTGAGGGTTTCTCTGAAACAGTGAGTTAGGTGAAGTCTGCAGATTCCTGCTGTTTACGGCCGCTCTTGTGCAAGAGCCCTGACGAAAGTGGCCACTGGGGAAACAGACTGAGTTTATAGGACCCTGCCAGACGTCGCTGCGGTGAGCTTCTGGTTTCGCTGAACCAAATGGCAAAACAAAAGCTTTTTTCTGCAGATGTGAGGGGGAAAGGGGGTTTTAGACTCCTCTCCCACGTTCTCCATTTCAGTAAGCGTTTTCTGGTGTGGGAGGAGAGTAACTTCAGCCTCTGAGAGCACTTTCAGCAGAAACAACAACAACAACAGGCTAGCGGTGAGATAAGCAAGAAACGTGTGGCTGCGTCCGAGCTAAGGGGCTAAGTTTGCTAAGGCTCCACCGCACGCAGCCACTGATCCACTCTTCCTAAGCCTCCTCCTTCCTCCTTTCTCTCACACCAGTCTAATTTCCTGAAATTAGCGACTATGGGGAAAAATAATTGCCAGACGACACACAACTTTTCTGTGCCAGGCGAGGCTTTCTGCAGTTTCAATCACGCCTCTGCTGCTGGGCAGAGCCAGAGAGGTAAAAGAGCCACTAATCAAAGCCACATGTCCTCTCCAAGAAGAAGCCACTCTGGAAAGATATCTATTAAAGGGGAGCTCCACCAAAGTTTCCAAAATTCTCCATAATTAAATGGTTAAGATATAAACAAAGTCAGTCCGAGTGGTTTGATGTGAAGTGCTCTGTTCTAGAGAAACGTACCGAGTCAAAATTGTTCACAGTGGTGGTGATGGGAACCAGACCTCTGAGCAGTTTAACGCGTCTGAAAGTTCCCTCACAGAACGTCAAAACATGAAAGGGCTATAAATACACTGCCTGATCCCTGAGACATCATTTTTATGATAGGTTTGTGATAAAGGCCTAACATGTTTTGTTAATTCATTTATTTGAATCCTCTCATGGCAGAGGGGTAGATGCAGTGTTGTCAGGCAGAATAGTCCCCAAAGAAAATATTTTTTTTTTTCAAATTTTCCACTATATTACCATTATCAACAAAACATGTAGAAACACAGACACGTGTAGGTTCACTGATGGTTTTGAGAAGTAAATGACATCACAACCCCTGTTTCCTACCATTTCACATCAAACTACTATGAATGACTGTATCATAGTAACAGAATTATGCAAATATTTGGAAAAAATCTCTGAAATTACCTTTTAATTCACTGTGCATGCAGAATGCTGAGGACACAGGACTGCTGGATCTATCAGGATCTTGTTTCTTATCCCTGAGAAATATTGGTGGATGTTTTATCATACACTCTTAAAAAAAAAGATGGTGCTTCAAGGGTTCTTCCGTAAAAATAAATCGTTCTGTATAGAACTATGAACACTTAAAGAACCTCTTGCATGATTAAATGGTTCTTTGCATCATGAAAGCATTTTTAGATTGATGGAGAATGTGCTGTAGATGGTTCTATATAGAACCTTCTTGAAAATAGTTCTGTATAGCAGCAAAAAGGGTTACACTATTGTTACAAACCAAAGAACCCTTTTAGGTACTATAAAGAACCCTGTTTGCTCAAAATGTAGGTATTGTCACTGAAACATTTATTATTTCTACCTTTGGAAGTTCCTGTGATTGATTTCTGAAAGTGTTCCAGGTTCACGTGGAGTTGATGGCCTGATTGCAGTGGCTGAAATACACGTTGTTCAACTTTGTAAATAACCATGCAGTTAGCTAGCAGGTTAAATCTGCGCTAACAAGCTTTAATACCAACAGAGAATACATTTGGGCAACAGTGTAAGCCCTGTAAACGGAGCAGTTTACATTGTCAGACAATAGGATACTGTATAGGAACATTTTTGTCCCCCAAGGGAAACAATGTACATGCACCTTCAAGAGTAAAACAGTGTTCTTAAAGTCTGATCCTTAAAACACTATATTCATTTTCCCAGAAGAAATAGAAAAATAAACTTCATAAATAAAGAAATATAATATGAAGCCTGGAATCAAAACAGGATGTATAGAGTCAATGCAATGTAAAAATTAATAATAAATGAATCAGAATAGTTCAAATATGCTCCGTAACTAAAGGTGCTGAAAACGTACCACCCAGTGAGTGTTTGGACCCTGAAATACACATTAGTACCTATTTTTCTGGAAATGTACAATGGTGTTGTTGCCATGTTCTGCTGGGAGGTGGTGTGCATGTGTGGTGGGGATTGGTGCAGGGGGCAGATGCTGCCTTATAAGGTCCCCTAAAGATGCCTAGTAATAGGAAACAGATTGGCTCCCCAACCTAAGGACCAATTTATGCATGTGGCTGTCTCAATAAGTACTTTCTACCTACTATCTCTCCCTCCTCTTCTCTTCCCCTCATTCCTTCTCTCTTAAGGCTTTAACAAGAAGCAGAGAGAAGCAATCTGCCTGCTCTGAGGGAAAGGAAATTACCGGTACAGAGGGCATCTTAATGACAGTAATCTTCCAGGGGGCACTTTGCTTTTGAACTCACAGCAGCCTCGTCCTATCATGACTGTGTTACTCAGTACTGGGCCGCTAAGAATCACTCCATGGAGGGTCTTACACAGTGATGTCTTAAAAGACGCCCCACAGTATTGCCTCAGGTTTAAAGTGCTAGTCTTGGCTAGTCCTGTCCTCCTCTTTATGAGACTATTTAATCTTAGCACAGTTACAATAGAAACTCAAAGTACTATCTACAATTACAGTAGTTTGGATGTGTTACGTTTTGTAATTAAAGGTACTTAAAGGTACTCACAACTAAAGGATTTTCATCATCGTTTATATGTGGGTTAGTATGTTCTTTATTTGGTCACTTGTGCAAGTACTACAAGGTTCAGATTTTTTTACTCACATTGTATCACCAGTTTTAAAGGTACTCAAATTTTGTTCACATTTCCTCATATGGTCTGCATTATAGTGCCTAGATCAGTGGTCAGCAGCCCTGGCCCTGGAGATCTACCTTCCTGTGGAGTCCAGTTCCAACCACAATCAGATGCATTAGTGTTAGATAAGGAGGAGGCAGCATTTCAAATGCAGGTTAGGTGCAGGAAAGTAGGAGGGAAGGAGGAGGGTTGTGACCACTTATCGAGATAATTAGTGCATCAGTAGATATGTTTCCATTTCTGCACAAATAGGAAGTGATAAAATTAGAAATTTCCATTTCCATAGCTTACACTGACAAACTTTACGGCCATTTTTCCACAGCCTACGTTGACAAACATTTTGCAGCGTTAAAACTTTTTCCCTTGGATGAAAACACAACTAGTGTGGAAAATCCCATCTTCACTCTGAAGTGTTTGTGTAAATGATGTCCTGTGAGGCTACAGAATATTGACTCCATAAAACTGACACCTGAGTGTGCCAAAGCAGTGCCTTATAAATCGCTACAGAGCAGCAGCGAACTTTTGCGAATAGGTGTATTGTTTACTTTAGTTTGCAGTTCATTAGTTATCAATAGAAAATCAGGATATTTTCCTAATCTGAGTTAATATAACAGAAATAACAGCATTATTCCTTGTAAATATTAATTTGTACAGAAGTTTTAAGATAGAATTTAAGATAAGATAGGATAAGATAATCCTTTATTAGTCCCACAATGGGAAAATTCACAGAAAAGTTGGGGGGCTTCTTCTGTTGAAGAAACCTGCAGGAGGAATTCTAAAAGAGCAAATTTTCCATGATTCTCCAATTTATTCCGTGATTGCATTGGATCGGATCTAATTGTAGATCTGAGTGACGCTGAAATGATTTTGTTATTCAGTGCTGTATTTAGACTTTCATAACCATTTTAATTATACAGCATTGCAGTGTAAGAAACTCATCATTCTGTCACATTTTAACTAATAAAAAACCCTTAACAATACTAAGTGATGTATGATTATAGTAAGGAATGAAGAGCAAGAAACAACATTGAACCTTTTCATTTTCATGTTCCTCCTTTGGGAAAGGAAACTGCAAAATAGCATATATTTCATTTAAATACTAAGGCCTAATGAGGATAAGTTCTTTTTTTGTCTTGCATTATAATCTGAAGATGGTCACCGCCACCAAGTGTTACTGCCTAAGCAATCAACAAAACAACAAAACACAATACAACTGTCTGACATTTTCACATCTCAATAACATATATACTTTGTTCTTGCAACGTCTTTGACTTCAGGCTTCTCTTGGAAATGTGTATAAGGATGATTTTAGTCTGCATTCAGTCATTCTGCAGGTGGAGATATCTTGCTGAGGTCAGATGTGGGCACAATATGGATGTAGTCAGCTTTTCTTTAGGAATCACAGATAACGAGGGGTCATAACCTGATACTTGACCTCAGGAGAAGTTGGATTTGGTAAAAAAAAACATTCTCAGAGGCTCCTTCAAAACTTGCTCTGTGTTGTTCCTGGTCTGGAAAATATCCATGCCTGTCAAAATGAGGCCAAGGTTATTGATAGTAGTGACCAGTTGACCTAGCACAGAGCAATGCTCTTGCTTATTGTTATTCTTATAATTGGAACAACTGAACATGTTTGTGATCACAATATGCTGGGCCTCTGCCCTTTCTCAGTGAAGGTAAGAGATCTGATCTAGTCGATCCAAGTGTTCTGAAGGCATTAGCTGAAGCAGATATGGCAGATTATGGTTGGAACTACATCCTACAGAAAGGTAGCTCTCCAGGAATAGCATTGATGGCCACTCATTAATATCGTTCATCTGTGTGTTAAACAGATGCAGATAAAGGTACATTTCTGAAATGTAGCTATCCAGGCTGTGGAAGCCTTGTTTGTCTTATTTATCAGAGGTGGATTCATGTGAGTAGCCTTTTGATATATAACTAATTGCCTGTCCTGAGTCCTGAGAGGAAGTCTAGAATTTTGCCCAGATTATGTGTTGGTGGCCTGTGGAGAGAGTTCTCTGGATTTCAGCATTGAATGCACTTTAACATAGAACTCAAAAATGAGACACACAATTTCTAGGTATATACAAAAGTAAGTCCTGTCACATGTTTTGTTATTTATGAGTGGGATGCATGAGTGTATGCATGTGTGTCTCTGCCATTTGGTAAAATATGCAAAGTCATCATTGTGCTGTCCCTGAGGCAATGTAGACATCTCAGTACATCTAATTACTCATCTCAGAATATGTAAATAAAGTAATGAGTTGCCTAAACATGTCTTGAGTGAGATAAGAAAAGAATTTTCATGTATCTGGAATATCAGAAAGATGAATCAAGTCTAAACCTGTCTAGCAATGTTTTATAAACCTTTCTATCTATAGTAAGCATCACAAAACCTTCTTTCAGTGCTTTGGCTTTCGAAAAACTGCCAATGTGTTCCACTGTTTCAGGTTCTAACAAGTTACAAAGAAGTAAACAAAGTATCTTCCACTGCCGGAACCAATACAGATAGTTTATAACCAATTATTCAAAATCCTGATGTTTATCTACAAATAAATTTAGTTTGCTGTTCTTTAAAGGGGCTTTATCTCAAAAACAGCACCTAGCAAATGTGAGGCAGGCGTAAGCAAGTATGGAATGTGTGGCAAGAGCAGGGACATTGTACAGGTAGAGAATTTAGGAACAATTTGCACAACAGAGCAATATCAGTCCCCAACCAAACCATGGCAGATTTACACTTAATGACCATAAGTAAGTGGACACCCTTTTTAATTATTGGAGGTGGCTGTTTCACAAGAACTGTTTATCAGGAGCTTCATGGATTGGGTTTCCATGATGACTATGACGACTGAGCAGCCGCACACAAGCTCACCATGTGCAGTGCCAAGATGACTGTGTGCAATGCCAAGCGTCAGCTGGAGTAAAGCACACCACTGTTGGACTCTGGAGCAGTAGAAACGTGTTCTCTGGAATGATGAATTGCACTTCACCATCTGGCAGTCTGGCAGAAGAATCTGGGTTCGGTGGATTCCAGGAGAAAACGACCATCTGGAATGCATAGTGCAAATTGTAAAGTTTAGTGAGGAAGGAATAATGGCCAGGGGCTGATTTTCATGGTTTTGCCTCCTTAGTTCCAGGAAAATTTATGATACTACAACATGCTTATACTGACATTGTGATTATTGTAGAGAATTGTGTGCAACATTGTGACAGCAGTATGGGGAAGGCTTTTTCCTGTTTCATCATGGCAGTGCCACCAGGCCTACATTAAGCTCTGAGCTCAACATGATCAAACACCTTGGGCGTGAATTAGAACACTGACTGTGAGCCAGGCTTTCACACCCAACATCAGTGCTCAAATCAATGCTCTTGTGGCTAAATGGAAGTGAAACCCACCAGGCATGTTCCTAAATCTAGTACTAACCCTTCCTGAAAGAGCGAAGGCTGTTAGAGCAACTGTATATTAATGCTCATAATTTTAGAATGAGACGTTCAACAAGCACATATGTTTGTGATGTTCTGGTGTTCACATGCCATGTAATGTTTGTGATTTTGGCTCTTTTTTCTGACATTTTCCTCCAGATGCTCTTCTTGTCTCATTTCTCTTCTTGTATTTGGTTCTGTAGCTGGAGATGGTAGTTCTGGTCTGAATTACCTTGTTTCGAGGTTTTTGACTGTTCCTGAGTTGTTCTCCAGTGCCCTGGTCATCGGTTCTCCACTGGCACTACAATTTAGGTCAGTTACATGCTGTTTACTTTGGCTAAACAGGGCTGCCCAAGCATACATGTGGAGATCCACCATGCAGCAGACTTTAGTTTCAGTCCCAACTTAATTCACAGATTCATGATCTCTTTAATAAGGTGGATCAAATGTGTTTGGAGCCAAGAGCAGAGTTGGGCACCCTTGCTTTAGGGGGAGAGTTTCATGCTTTCTCATGCTGAAGTGAGAGCTAATACCTTGGTCTACCACCATACTGTACCTGAAACGGATATAATAAAATCTAAAATCAGTAGCAGGTAGAATATATCAGTGCAGCCAACAATTCACAATACCTATGTTTTACACTAGTCAGATATATTTTGGCAAAGTGGACAGAATTTTTTTGTAATGTATAATTCTATTCGTACCCATGATGGGGTAAAGTTGTTCAAGCAAGTAGTGGCAGCATCTAAAAGGAAGGGTCTATGGATTATCTTCAGCTTTGCAAGACGCCATTGCTGTGCTGCTTGATTCAGCAGGCCTGCCTAAGAAATGTTTCTTGAAAGGAGTAGAGCTGGCAAATGAGCGATATTTCCACAGTATATCTAAGTGTTTGGGTCCACCTAAGCAGTAGATCTGCTAAATCAGCTGGATTACTCCTTCTGTTTAGATAAACAGACTCTATTGTATTTCCATGTGGATAAATACATAAATAAATGAACTGAATAATGAGAGGTTTTGTTGTTTCACTTCAGCTTGTGGATTGTTATGTTGCTTGAAAGTTTGCAAACCCTTTATCATTTTGTGAATTTCCACATAAATCTGACCTAAAATATGACAAGATCTTCACTTAACTCGTAACAATAGATAAAGAGAATCCAATTAAATGACTTACACTAAAACTTATATCATTTTTCATTCATTTATTGAATTTAATGTAATCTGACATTAAATGTCTTTCTTGGAAAAAAGTATGTGAACCTCTGCTCTCAGGAACTGGTGTGACCTTCTTGAGCAGCAAAGACTTCAGCCCAACAGTTCCTATAATTGTTGATCAGCCCTGCATTTTGATTTGAAGGAATCTTGGCCCATTCCTCCTTACAGAACTGCGGCAACTCTGTTATGTTGGTGGGCTTTCTTGGACCAATCCCACACCTTAGGTTCTGCCTCAGTATTTCTATTGGATACTGTTGGTCCATTTTGGAAAGGTTTGGTCAAAGTCCAGACCTTAATAGATAGATAGCCATTCCAAAATGCAACATTTCTTCTGCTCTAACCATTATTTTGTTGTCTTTCTGCAGCACCCGTCTGCTGTTGAGGTTCTGTTTCTGAATGGATATGCTAACATTCTCCTATAGAATTTTTTGATACAATCCACAATTCATAGCTGATGGCAAGCTGTCCTGGTCCAATAGCAGCAAAACAGCCCTAAACCGTGATACTGCCACCACCGTGTTTGAAAGTTGGGATGAGGTTCTTATGCTGGAGCGCAGTGTTTAGCTTTGCTAAACATAACATCTCTCATTTAAGCCATAAATATCAATTTTTGCCTTATCCATCCACATAAGATTATTTCAGTGTGGCTCATCCAGGTGTTTTTTATGAAATTTTAAACAGGCAGAAATGTTCTTCCTGGAGAGAACTGGCTAGAGAGAGAGAGAGAGAGAGAGAGAGCAAGGGAGAAAATGCATGTGTGAGTGTTGAAATATCTGTAAAAAAGGCAAATCTGCTTCACTGTAATACAATAATCATATTAACTTAAAATGTAAACTGGCTGTTTTAATATTTCAGGTTCACTGAGCCTGTAACAGTGATGTAAGGAAATGTGCAGAGGACTTTAAGAATGGCATTATTGAAGAATCATCAATGTTTTTCTTTCTTTTTTTTTTTGGTTTCTATTAGTGGTTTCTTATTTTGTTTGTTTTTTATGGTTTAGTTCACCCAATCAACCCATTCAACAATGCCAAATCACTGCATGCTTTGTTGATGTGTTTATGTCAGATTTAAAAGGTAACTGCACAGGTTTTACAGGTTAATTAATAAAATTCTGGGTGATGATCTGCCAGAATATACAATTCTACAGTGAACTGAGCTGAGCCCCAGATCTTTACACACCCAGTCAGCTTATCTTCCCATCTGTATCACTATATAGTGGAAGGAAAAGTGTTTATCTGCTTGTATATTTCCACCAGATGCATGATGGGAAATAATCTCAAAAATCTAGTTGCAGTCTTGCAAATAGTGACACTGCAAGATTCCTAGGCTACGTTTACACAGCAGGTAAAAGTGGCCCAAATCTGATTTTCTCACCAAATCCGATTTTTTTGTTTTGCTGTTCACATTATCTTTTAAAGGTGACCTGTATGCGACATCAGTCTGAACAGATCAGCTCCTAAACCGACCCGCATCCGCGAAAGAACAATGCTTCATGTGGCAGTTCATCCAAGGGTAAACAGTCATGACGGCCCGCGAACTCCAGTCGCTCCCAGAGCTTCAGTTTCGTCTTCTCAGCATCACAGGAGCGATTATGAAGTTCCAATGACTGACAGCTGGATTCATCACCCACAGTGTGTTTGAGTTTGCCGAAAAAGGGCACGGTATTCGGCCACGGGCACTTCTTTGTTTCGTGTCCTCGGATTCTTTAAACTGTTCTCTGACGCTGCAGCCTTGGGCTCCTCCGGCCGTTTTCCTCTAAACCTCTTCGAACACGGAGCGGTTTGATGAGTCTCTTCTAATGTTTTAGTACAGAAACATCAGACTAAAGGTTTATGAGTCTCCGCAGCGCGAAATTATGACGAATGTCGAGTTGTACTGACTTAAAAGTCGCATCAATTCCGATCTGGCTGCTCAGACTGAGTCGCATTGCCGCAGATCGGATACGTATCGGATTTCAGTACCACATATGAAAGCGTCTCAAATCGGAATTGACAATGTCAGATTAAATGGGTTTTTTGCTGTTCACACAGCCAAACGGATGACACATCTGTGTCATATATGAGGAAAAAGATCGGATTTGAGCCACTTTTACCTGCTGTGTAAACGTAGCCATAGTCTTTGCAAAATCAGATTTTGTGACTAAAACTGTGACATTGTCTTTAGATGTGAGAGGGTGTCAGACTTTTCAAAGTCTTCTAGTGTATGGTTGGCATCAGTCTTGGAGTGATTTTTGTTGGATGACCACGCTTGGGACTGGTAACAAGGTGTTACATTTTCTCCATTTGTACACTATCTGCCTGACAGTGCATGGATCACTGAAGTCCAAACTCATCAAAAATAGTTTTGCCACCTCTTTCAGTCTAACGAGCATTGACAAATTATTTTCTGAGGTCCCTAGAAATCTCAGTTGACTTAGACAGGGCATGGAGTAGAAATATATGCAGTGAAGACCAGGCTTTGATGGTGAAGACCCAGGTTGATGTTTTTTTAAATAGAGTACAGACTCACTCCTGATTGCCATACAATCGATCGAACCTCCTGACCCAAATGATCAGCTATACCTTTGTTTCTATCACTTCGTTCAATAAACAGATTAAAAACAGTATAATTTTGTCATTTCTTTAATTTCGTTCTTTTCTTAAAATAAAGATCTGATTATATTTGAAGTCGCATTTATGTAGAAATTCACAAACTTTCAAACAACACTATGTATACACATATACATATAAAATTCAATTAGATAAAATATAATATAAGACACTATGTGCGCTAGGTAAGTTTGTCTGTAGATGTGTTTTCACTTAGAAAATCAACAAAACATGCCAAAAAAAGAAGTGTTGTCTCAGGCCATCGGTATCAGTAACGGCTTCTTGACAGCTACACATCCTTTCAGACACATAGTGTTGAGTTTTCTCACAGTGGAAGGATGGACAGAAACACCTGTGTTTTTTTCATATCTGAAGCAATAGTGGAGCTTCCTCTATCTCTCTAATTTTGGATAATTTCTTTCAAGCTCCTGTTTAAACTCCTATTTTCAATCGTTTCCCTTTGCCTTTTGCCTTTCTTATGCATGTGGAAGTCCACATATGTACATCTGTGGCTTGACCTCTGAACAAGAATGAACAGGAAGCATCTTGTAACATCATGTACTCCAGCTGCTACTATTTTATTTTCATGAAAAAAAAGTCTTGTTGGACCTGTACCTAGCTTCTAAACCACTGTATCACTCTGAAGTAGTGCAAATGTTATTTTGTCATCTGTTACATATTTTTGTTCGAAGCTGGTCAAGATATGGCATGTATTGACAGCCTCAAAGTATTCTGGAGCTTGCTTTTAGAATGTCAAAATGTAGCAAGAAACCTCAGTGGCTTTTCCAAATCCAGCACTCTAACAGCTTCAAAACTTTCTACACATGATATAAAACTAAAACTTGTTCTCAAAGATGCATAATCCTGATGAGGGATCTAAAAAATAATTACACTATTCATTAAATTGTTTCAGTTTTCAGACTTTTAACAAGAATCATTTGTCATTATCATGCAGACACGTCTGCTTGATGACACAGATAATAAATGTAGCATGCTATGCCAAATAGCAAAAGCATTAAACCTAAGAAAGATGAGAAGGATTTGGAGCTGATATGTAGTCACAGTTTCAAATTTGTCTCGTGCAAAACGTAGTGCAGACATGTGACGTTGGTTTAGTCATTTTTTGTCTGCAACAGCTTGTTCGAATCAGCATGACGCCATTCAGTTCATGTATTCATTTGTATTTTAAATCCAAACACCAGAATGTTCTGTATTGTTCCTTATCCGCCGCAAACCAAAGCTTTCGGATCTCAGACAAAAACACCAGGATACTCCTCCAATAACCCTAAGAGCCTGCACAACTGGGAGGAAGCCTAGACTAAACAACTTAACAAAGCAGACGTCAGCACACGCTCCCCTCTGCCAGCATGTGTGACCAGCTGCTCACAATTTCATGCAATTTACAGTGTGATTTCTCCATGTTTTAGTAAGTGTCTGACGTATGCTTCTAACAGATCTTCACACTGCAGGGTTCACAGTGCTTTGGGTTAAATAACTGTCAGCTCCATTTGGGAGCAGATCCATCTGCTGACATTGCCTGCTATAAATTCCATCTGGTGCTTCTGCACCGACACCCACATTCACCTGTGGCAGAACTCCCGGGGAGATGTGTGTTCTTCATATTGGGGGTTGTAAACCTCGGGCCCTGGTGAGGCCCAGCAGGGGACCACAGTGTGGGGCTAATGGAAGTGAATACCACTTTGCCACAGCCAGGCCTGTAGATGAGAAGACGGATGTCTGGCTAGGAGATAACACCAGCAACCTTTCCTGCATGCATACTTAGAATAGCATACACTTAAATGAAGCCCAATGAGATTCTGATTTTGTCATAGCGTTTTTGTTACAGCATGTAATAATTGGTTAGCAATAAAATCTGTCGTGATAAAGATGTGTTGGCTCCTACGACTGTCCTCTTCAACAAAGTTTATGTCGAAGACCTAGAGTTTGAAGAGTGTTTGCATTTCATCCTGAGGAGGTTCTTGATCCAGAACAAAGTCTAAATCAAAAAAGACATCTTACGAAAAAAAGACAGGAGCATTTCTCAGCAAACGTCAGAGAGTGTAGCCTGGGGTTAGGTATAAGTGATTTACAAAAGAATGCCACTTGCAAGAATTCTTAAAAATATTACTATATAAATAAAAAATTAATCTGTCTATTAATAATAAAGCATGTCAACATGCATGTGAGAGCTTATCAGTAAAATTTAATGATGTTGATATGATTCAGTTATATGGTAGTATTCAGTAAATGGCCTTAGCCCTGACTGATCAAGCAACCCCAAATAATTGGGAAGCAGAAAATGCAACCGACTTCTAAGACTGAACTTTGGAGGTGTGGAAAAACATCCCTACAGAAGAAGAACAAGAAAAACTGAAAGCAAGTCTCCTGAAAGAAATGGAAGCTCTAATAAAGGTAAAGGGTCGACCCACTAAATACTAAAAGATTAGAAATTGTATTTAGTTGTTGAGGCTTTGTGTAACTTTCTGTTAAATATATGTTTTCTACTTGTTTCTGATGCTGAAATATGAACAACTTCTTCTTAATGGCCATTCTGACTGGAAATTAAAGAAATGCGCTGTACCTGTAAGATTTCTTTTTAGCCAATTGATTTCCATTGAAAAGCTGATCACATGATCCAGCTACCTTGGCAGAAATGTCTATGCCCTCCTTCTGTTTTGTCAGGCCTGTCTCATCATCTGCAGTCAACAAAGTGATATAAAATTGTAGTTACATATCTCTACAATAGTATTTTAATGAAGTTGATCAGAACTAATACACTGCGAGTTGATCAAAAGTGGCAAAAAACATCCATATCTGTAACTGACTGGTCAAAAGTTTACTTAATCTTAAGCTTTACTCATTATCCTCGTTGAAAAGTTGTGACAATTGATCTCTTGTTGTAACTCTGTAACTCGTCTATTTTCTATTCATAGTCAGAAGCTAGTGCTGAATATTGTGACCCCGGGCCTTTTTGATAAGATGATTTAATACAGAAATTGATAACTTAAGCATGGAGAATTTCTAGCCAGTATTTTTTTTTTTTAATTCAGGTGTACTGAGAGTTGAGTAGAACAAGTAGAGTAGAATCACTAATGGATTCCAACTAAATAATCATGTATAATCTGATTTTGGGTTCATTTTAAAGCCTTTATCTGGCAGTTATGTTAAGTGGCCACTGGGAGCTTTGATTCCCAAATGATCTCACACTTAAAGAGCAGCTACACACCTCTATTTTCAGGTAACTCCACCCCTGGCTCAACTTTGAAAAATGCTCAAAAATGGGAGGGGCATGTTGGGAGGGACACTGCAGTGATTTATGGGTTTGGAGGTAGGGTTACAAGGGAAACCGGGTGGGCAGGACTGCTGTGTTTTTATAGCTAATGTTAGCTACCAGAAAAAAGTGGAGAGTGACAGAATCAAATGGCATTTTTGCAACTTTGAGGTCTCACAAGGTTGAAGATTTTTCTCTACTACCATCCCCATCTTCGACGAGGAAAGGTGTTTCTGATCAGGCAGTGTGTCTTGAGCCTTAACAGTATGAGCCACTGACTCAAGCCGCCGAAGAGTTAATGTAGTGCCAGAAAATGATTAGCAGCGAGCGGCAGAGGCGTCCGAACAGTAGAACCTTCCATAAAAACCATCGCAGCCAGCTTCTAATTATCTGTTCAGCTGGTCCATATTCAATATAACCCGAGACCTGATTTCTTAGATGCACTGAATTCCAAAAAAATAAAGTGGATTTCTTTGAACACTTTCTAAGTTTCATTCATTTTGACATCAAGCTATGACTGTACAAATCTCTCACTTTTGCAGAACATTTGCAGTAGGCAGGTGGCCGAGGTGTGTTAAAAGTTAATGCAGAAAAAAGCTAACCCTACTTTTGTAGCCTAACCTAGTTAGTTTATGCTAGCTGTTCTTTAGCACAACTAGCATCACAACCGAGCTTGAAGCATGCTGCCTGTTTGATTCCAAGCACAGAAGTATAACAGGGAGACTATCTTACCAAACAGGTTGTTCACAGAAGTGACAGGTTGGGGTCGTACACTGCCTCATCTGTCATCCAGGGTTTGTTGCAGTGGCCCTAAATCCTTATGTTGTGCAAGCTGTTCATGGAACTTATCATCAGCTGGAAACTTGCAAGAATCAGTCCATCAGATTACCTAATCATACGTTGAACGTTATCAATATAAGGCTAGTAAAGTCTAAAAGGCTAAAAACTACAATATCTACAAATACAATAACTAAGAATTACCAATAATAACTAACTAGAACACTAAAAAACATGTTAAACGCAATGAGACAATATGTATGGAAAAACATTCAAAGCTGTGCTGATGTTCTCTCTTACTCTAGGCTCGCATGGTTTCATGTTTATGAGTGCAGCACTGGCAGAGCCATCTCTCTACATGGCTCTGGGCTCGTGTGGGGCATCATCACGGGACGGTAACGTTGTTTGACTGATTTGCATACTGAGACATGTCATCGTACTTTGGTACAAAGACACGTCATCCGCACCTATAGCAGAATTGAACCAGAGGGGCGTTGCAGAGGCAGAACTGTCCATGATAAAATGATATTTTTACAGTTTGGAAAGATGTGTTCACATTTCAAGCAAGGCTGGTGTATATTATTATTACTAAACAATGCATTTCAGCTAGTAATGAAACAAAATGTCTTAGGGTGTAGGTACTCTTTAAACATTTTTCTAATGATCCCATTAGATCATCTCGTTGCTGTTCTGCAGACATAGACAAACCTAGAAGTTCTCAGGGAGGTTCAGGAGAAGTTTTCAGAAAGCATTAATCAAAATGAACTGGTGGAGACTGAGACCAAAGGTATTCAATAGATTACACATTTGTATGATAAGGAAAAAAACCTTGAACCTAGTACATGCTCTCACACCAGAGTGGAAAGATGAGCCTCACGCTGACTGCTGAGAACCACTCCATTCCATTAAGTGATGGCAACAGGATACCCATCATAGGACTCGGGACCTATGGGGATCCACGGACAGTAAGGCTCTGAATCTATGCAGTTGCTAATGCTACAGTAAATGCTAGTGTGGGAATGTGATCAAGTTTAATGGGTATCACGCCTGTTAGGTCAACATGTTTGACAAGACAGTGGTCATCACAAGGTATTAGGCTATTTATTGTATTCATTTTTCCATGTAAGTAGTTGTGTATTTGGTAACATGCTAATATGACAAACAGAAATTACAATGAGTAATTCTGTCTCTTACAGACTCCTAGAGGTACAGCACGAGAGTGTGTGAAGCTGGCAATAGATGTTGGCTACAGGCATTTTGATGGCGCGTTGGTTTATTTTAATGAGCATGAAGTTGGGCAGGCCATTCGGGAGAAGATTTCAGATGGAACTGTTAGAAGAGAGGACATCTTTTATTGTGGAAAGGTACTGCAGTTGGAAGCTACACCTCTTCCTTCACGTGGGAACGCTTAATAATGGACAAGGTCATATGTAGAGAGTCACACTTACAAACTTATCCAGTACAGTATATGTGCCCAAACCTATGGGCTTTGGCCACATATAGTGCACATAAACATAACATAAACACATAAAAATAGGTTTGTATTCAGTAAATGATGATATGAAGCCATTAAAATTATTACACATTTGAAATTCAAATGTATCACATTTCTTGAACAGCCCACATGGGTTGAAATATGATTGTGGGTTTTTAATCTTTTATCTTTGGATTTATAGGTCACATATAGACTTTATAGGTGCATGTAAAATTCAAACACTTAATTGCTCAAACTTCATTTGTTTGTTCTGGATTTTAGCTGTGGAGCACCTTCCACCCTCCTGAGCTGGTTCGACCTGCACTGGAGAGAACACTGAAGACTTTACAGCTGGATTATGTTGATCTGTACATTATTGAGCTTCCCGTGGCCTTTAAGGTAAAGTCTTTCTAGTAACACTGAACAGGAAACTTGTATCCAGAAAGCACTCTGAAAAAGTTTGGCAGAGTGAGAGGTTCCATTATATGAGAGCCCATATAATGGAAAATGTACGCTGTAAATCACGGCACAGACTATTGTGTTCATGTTTTTTGCTATAGAGCTGTGTTCTTGTTTCAGCCAGGTGATGAATTCTACCCTAAAGATAAAAATGGGAAATACATCTACCATGAGACAGACCTGTGTGCTACATGGGAGGTGAGAGCTGCTTTATACTTGTGCAAGTCTTTGCAGCGCACACTTACTGCTAAATAAAGCAGTAACTTTATGAATGATTGTGTGGTGCTTTTCCTATTTTTTGTTGTATTTCCTCCACTAGAGGTCTCTGCCTGTCTAGTAATGTAGTTACTGTTCATTGGCTACACCTGTTCCTTGTTTCTTTTGTTTGCTCCTATTATATGCACACTGTCTTTCCCCTTCAGGGTTCATCAAGGCATGTTTGGATACAGCATTTCTGTGCTAAACTCTCTCTGTGTTTACTGTTCTCATGTTCCACATCTCTGATCATTGCCTTGCTGTTTGTATAGTGTCTGTGGCTCCTGTCTCGTCTTGGACATTTTCAGTGCATTATTATGACTCCTGGTGGCCTGTTAATGACTTTGGACTATGCATTACAGATTCATTGTTGTCTAATACATTTTGTAACTCTACCCAGCCAGCTCCACTGAGTCATCTTTGTTACGTTGTGTGCTGGGTAGGCATTAGAGGCTTGCAAAGATGCAGGCCTGACAAAGTCACTCGGGGTTTCAAACTTCAACCGAAGACAGCTGGAGCTGATTTTGAACAAACCTGGACTCAAACATAGACCTGTTTCCAACCAAGTAAGTTCATTTATGCTGTACATCTCATGCTGTGCCATCTATCTACTTAATAAAACTGCTTTGTTGGAACCATATAGACCCACATCAGAGCTAAGTATATCTGTAATCATAGGTGGTCAAACCTCTTTGGGAAGTGGTTTTGTGGAGAATGTACAAATAAATCTCTAATGTTTGTGTGAGGTTTAGTAATTTGATTATAAAAGAAGGAAATCATCCAACTGTAAGACACTGACTAATGGGCTATAGTGAACAGTGCGCTGAATGTACAGAGTCAATGACTCCCACAATTTTAGTACTTGCTTTTGGTAGCTTTAAGTGCTTCATACATACTTGTTAAAATCCATTTCTCACTATTATTTCAGGTTGAGTGCCATCCCTACTTTACTCAGCCCAAGCTTCTGGAGTTTTGTCAGCAAAATGACATTGTCATTGTGGGCTACAGCCCTCTTGGAACCTCTCGAGATGCTTCCTGGTACTAACTGGTCCATATTTGTAACCCTATTTATGCATGTGCTTTTTACTTCAGGCCTAATTTGGTTCAGTATCCTCAGGAACAATTGTAGCACCTAAGAAAAAGCAATTTAGTACTGATGCAAACTAGGCTATACTCTCTTGATGAAAGTGATCGTGAGGCATGCTGTGATTTGATAATCAGTCCATGGTATCATATCTTATTGCGCACTCTTTGTTGTCAGGGTTAACTTGAAATGCCCCCCACTGCTGGAAGATGAGGTGTTAGTCTCCATTGGGAAGAAGTACAACAAGAGTCCATCTCAGGTAGCCCTGAGGTTCAATGCTCAGAGAGGAGTGGTTGTCATCCCGAAGAGCTTCAACCCTCAACGGATCACAAACAATTTCCAGGTCAGTTTATGGTAATTCTTTCTGGAACTTTGCTTAGAAAAGCAGACTGATCAAAACTGTTTGTTAAACCTAACTCTAATCATGTTGCCTTGGTGTTCCCAGGCTGTAATGCTGTCATGCAAGCATTCTACTATGGCTTTGTTGGATCAGATTCTGTTTCAGTGCATTTGAAATAAATTAGTTGGCTGACATAAATTCACACTTTAAGTTAATCTGAAATCAAAATTTTATGTTAGTTCCATATTAAGCACAATTCTTCAAATGATACCATTTAACTCTTACTTTTCCAGTAATCTTTAAGTAAATGTGACTTTGTTTCTAAAACGTCTTCTGATTTGATTTTCTGATTACATCATCATGCACCAACAGGTGGGGAAAAAATAATATTCACCAATAATATCATGTTTCACCACCTTCCATCTCCCCCATCGATCACTGAGTGAAAAGCTCAGCTTGTTCAGAACCCCATCCCTGATACCATGTTCCACTCAAAAGTATGTTACGGTACAGAATTAAAAATCTGTTATGATCACCGATTCACATTGACTCTGATCATCTGACTCAGTGGTTCCCAGCCCTGGTCCTTCAGCACCCTTTGCTCTGCACATTTTCAAGTTTTGTTTGCTCCCAACACACCTGATCCAACTAATCAGCTCATTAAAATCCCCTTACTGAGTTGAAGTGAGTGTAAGCAGAGAAAGCACTAAAGGTACCACTTTATAACAAGACTACCCTTATGAATTGAAATTGTTTGTTAATCATTATTAATTAGATCATGAACACCTTAAAGTAGCTACAATACATAAATGAAAAGGGTAACAGCATCCTGTATCCTATCTTGTTAAACGTCAGATCTTGCAGGTAAACCTGTTGCAACACGGCACAACTGATCAGACGCTTGCAGATGTAGTTAGAAAAAGAGGCTTTACTGTTTGAAACATGATCCAAGCTCGTTGTCAGAAAGCAGGCACAGGTTATATCCAAAACAATGCAAAAATGGCAAAAAGAAAAACGTCAGAGAAACAGGCAAACAAGATTAAAAAGGGCAAAGGCAAAAGTTAAAGTAGAAAGTCCAAAAACACAGCCCAAACGCACAAAAGGCAAAAGACAATAGAGAATGCTTGGTAGCTCACAGGAAAGAAACAATACCTCGCAAAGTTCTAACCCAGAAGCCCGGGCTTATATACTAACTACTCTAAATCATGTGACAAACAGAACAGGTGTGACAGAATAGTATTAGTTAGGGGAACATCGCTTGGCTGTGGATGAGAGAGCAGCAGTCTCGTGATCTCCAAGGGAGTTCTGGGAATTGGAGCTCTCTAGAAAGTCAGACCTAGAGGAATGCATGATGCTGTCAACTTCATCAGATATTCATATTCATCAAATGTAACAGCTCACTGTGCCCTTTTTGTTCGTGTTAGAACTACTTATTAACTAATTCATAACTATTAATATGCTTTTATAATGGTGGTCTTATTGTAAAGTGGTATCACACTAAATGTGCTGAGCAGGCGTCCTGCTTTGGTCTGCATGTGGCTCTTTTACTGCCCTGTTGAGGCTCCACAGCAGAATTAGATTTTTAGGTAAATCTAAATTAATCCTCCAGTAAAATAAAGCTCTGTTGATCGTTCTAACAATAAACGATCGTAAACGCTGGGGCTATATAGTGTATAACTGCTAATTCTCTCAACCTTTAACCCAGCGTGCAGCGCGCAGACTGCTGGTCACCATAGCAATGCAGACTAGCTAGTGGCTAACGAAAGAAGGAACAAAATAGAGATTTAAGACCAATATTAATAGTTTGGAGATGACTTTTTGCATTTATAAGAACTCCGCTGGTTTTCTGATACAGTTAATCTGTAACGAGAAACTGTCAAACACTAAAAAGTCGCAAAGCTGAAGTCAGGTTCTTGTTTAAATTTTCCCGTTCCACCTTAAATGGTGCAGCATTTACATTCTGGCGCCTCAGAACGGTAAAATTTAAACAAGAACCTGGAACGAGAAGCTGACTTCAGCCTTGTAAAAGTCGATCGTTGAGAGAAATTTCACAAGAAGGACAAAATGGCTCTTCTTAACATTTGGGTTGCGACCCCTGGGCTAGTTGAACACACCACCCAATAAAATGTACATTATATAATGCTCTCTGTTAATGATGATTTTGTTATTTGATCTTGCTCAGATATTTGATTTTTCTCTCACTGATGATGAAATGAAACTCATCGAAGGACTGAATAAAAACATTCGCTTTGTGGAGCTCCTCATGTGAGTACCAGCTCTTTCAGGGTCACTCTTTTTTCTCCCTGTTGTCAGTTAAATTTCCCTTTTTTTGAATTCACACACTATATATGCATTTCAAATGAATGGATTATGTTGTCTCTATCAGTTGGAATACAAGTAATTGCATTTGTAGAAAAAGAGCATTTAGTACATTTAATTGACTTTTAAGCCACCTGACATTGTCTGACACTTGAATAAAGAGCACGTAATCATAAATTACATTTATCAGTTACATATTACAGACACTCAGGTTGCCTATTATTGTGAAATTCATTTCCTCTCACTGACAGGTGGAGTGACCATCCCGAGTACCCATTCCATGATGATTACTAAGCCTTTATAAGACGACCAACTTATTTGATGTCAGCATAAAGGTTTATGATGTTCATACTGTTCCGTTAAAATGTGATTAGTCAATAGGGGGCATCATCTTACCATTTATAGTGTGATATAAGATGATGTTGTAACAAGTTGCCTTTTTTGTACGAATGTAAAATCACTGGAGTAGAACAAACTCCATTGGCATAAAGAACCAGAAGACAAATAAAAAGTTCTGAAAGTCTCATATTCAGCTCCTTTACATTTTTAACTTCATTAACATTTGCTGTGTCTTTAATGTACTTTTTGTACAGTATTCTGTATATTTTAGAGACTGTATGTTTTCAGTGATTTCCTCTCCATGAACTCTCTGCCCTTTAATATTTAAAGGTGTTATTCTGTTACAAAACAGTCAGTCTACATGAACTTATCTGTCTTCCTTGTTTTTTTGTTACTGAAGCTGTGAACTAAACTGGAGTACAGCAGGAAAACTGGACACATCAAATGGTGTCAGTCATTTTGATACTTAAAACAAAGTTTAATCCACATCTACTTCAGCCTAGAGTAGCTGTACAGTGTATGGTGTTTCATCTCTTACAGGGAGGGGGTAAAACCTTTGTGATGCGAGGCAACTAAACGTGAGCAGCAGCTTGAAAAGGTGTATGACTCTTAGCTACACGTGCTGTAGATGAAGCATGTGTTAACTGTTCTAGTATAATAGCTGTTGCGCAATAAGGGAGACCTAGACAGTGAGTGGAATTTACAAATGCGGGGAGAGTCTAAGGCCCAATCCCATTTCTTATTTTTACCCCTACCCCTTGTTTTCGACTGTCACCGTGTCCCTTGGAACTGAGTTAAAAGGGGAGTGGTTGAAATCTTCCCCTATGAAATGAGATAAACCTCAAATAAAAAAGAACAGTACTTCATTAACTGGCTACTAGTGGTGCTGTGTAGGCGACCCTGCCAGTCTGCAGTGATAGTGAGAGGCCAAAATGAATGAAGATTTAAAGCTGTTTAATTCTGGGAATCTGTTCTAGAGCAATACTAGTATTTCCTGACCTGCAATACCTGAAATCGCCAGTAGGTGGAGTAGCGGAGCAGTAAGGGGAGCAACCGACTCTCTTCCTCTTCATTCATTAAATGTGTTGTGAAGAGTGCTTGTGTTGGTGAACCTTCTGCTCACAAATCTTCATTTTTAGGTGGGAATACTATTTAAAAGTTCAGTTATTTCTTCACTGTAGTTTTATATTCGATGTTAGAGCACGTTTGTCGAAAACGCTGGCATTTTTTAGAGAAATTTGTTAGTTTTTCAAACCAGTGTACGTAGTTAGCTAATGGCGCTGTAGCTACATCGCAGCGGTTTTAGGAGAAAGGACAATATAAAGCTACGCCCAGTTCATGTAATATAAGCACTAATAGTATGATTTAACAATTCATTTGTTTAGAATATTAAACAAAAAGAGTATGTGATCTCCAGCTAAGCTGTAAAAGGTGTATTTTGAAGATTTATAGATGGGGGATACGATTATTTATTGTTGCCCACCCCTCATTCTTCAGTGAAACGAAGCTAAAGTCAGCTACTCTCCAGCTTCCTGTTAGAATTGTCCTGTTCCACACTCCGTTTGGATTGTGCCTCTGAAAAACCTCCGTTTGGAGGACCTTGTAGCTCTAACACTTTGCCCTACCCCTCCATCTCAACAACAGTCAGGACACCCTACCCCTAGATGTGAACACACAAAGCAGAGGGGTAAGTGCTAAGTGGTAGGGGCAGGAGGTGAAGTGTTATTGGGCCTAATTATTCTAAAAAAGGGAAAGAAAGTGCACATTCAGTATTATTGAAGTCTACCCTCCGGCCCTCCTTCTGTTTTGTCAGCTCTGTTTTATCATCTGTGGTCAACAATGTGATATAAAAGTGTAGTTACATATCTTTATGATAGTGTTGATCAGCGCTAATACACTAGGAGTTGATCAAAGTGGCTAAAACCATCCATATATATGAACGACTGGTCAGAAGTTTCCTTTATCTTAAGCTTTACTCATTATGCTGCTTGAAGTCTTGTGATAATTGCTCTCCTGCATCAACAATTTCTAGCCAGTTTGTTTCTTTCCTAACTGAGGTGTGTTGGGAGCTGAGTAGAACAAGTAGAGCAGAATCGCTGATGGATTCTAACTAAATAAGCGGAATCATGTATAATCCGATTTTGGGTTCATTTTAAAACCAAAATCTGGCAGTTATGTTAAGTGGCCTTTGGGAACTTTGACTTCCCAAGTGATCTCACATTTAAACGTTTTTCTAAGGATCCCATTAGATCATCTCTTTGCTGTCCTGCAGACAAACCTAGAAGTTCTCTGGGAGGTTCAGGAGAGGTTTTCAGAAAGCATTAATCAAAATGAACTGGTGGAAACTGAGACCAAAGGTATTCAATAGATTACAGATATGTTTGATAAGGAAAAAAAAAATCTTAAACCTAGTACATGCTCTCACACCAGAGTGAAAAGATGAGCCTCACGCTGACTGCTGAGAACCACTCCATTCCATTAAGTGATGGCAACAGGATACCCATCATAGGACTCGGGACCTATGGAGATCAGCAAACAGTAAGACTCTGAATCTATGCAGTTGTTAATGCTGCAATAAATGCTAGTGTGGGAATGTGATCAAGTTTAATGGGCATCAAGCTTGAGAAGACAGTGGTCTTCACAAAGTTTCAGGCTATTGTATTCATTTTTCCATGTAAGTAGTTGTGTATTTGGTAACATGCTAATATGACAAACAGACTCCTGAAGGTACAGCACGAGAGTGTGTGAAGCTGGCTATAGATGTTGGCTACAGGCATTTTGATGGAGCATTGATTTATTTTAATGAGCACGAAGTTGGACAGGCCATTCGGGAGAAGATTTCAGATGGAACTGTTAGAAGAGAGGACATCTTTTATTGTGGAAAGGTACTGCAGTTGGAAGCTACAACTCTTCCTTCACGTGGGAACGCTTAATAATGGACAAGGTCATATGTAGAGAGTCACACTGAATTACGTATTTAGCCAGTACAGTATATGTACATAACAAACATATAAAAAATAGATGTGTATTCAGTAACTGATGATATTAAACCATTAAGAATGAATACACATTTGAAATTCAAATGTATGATCACATTTGTTGAGCAGCCCACATTAGTTTAAATATGATCGTGGGTCTTTCATCTTTTATCTTTGAATTTATAGGTCACGTACTCTTTTTAGGTTAAATTCAAACACTGAATTGCTCAAACTTCATTTGAAGTCTTTGTTATTTCTATTTGTTTGTTCTGGATTTCAGCTGTGGAGCACCTTCCACCCTCCTGAGCTGGTTCGACCTGCACTAGAGAGAACACTGAAGACTTTACAGCTGGATTATGTTGATCTGTACATTATTGAGCTTCCCGTGGCCTTTAAGGTAAAGTCTTTCTAATAACACTGAACAGGAAACTTGATATTCATTTGTTCTTAGAGTACCCAGAAAGTCCATATAGTGGAAAATAGTAATAATAAATATAACTGAAATAAAATTGTTTTCTTTTTTGCAAACTAAGCTGCAAAAAGGTCTGTTTTGTATTTACCATAGTTATGAGGTCACAGCTGTTTTTAAGCAAGGCGCAATACAAGACAGCTAATCAGAACAGAGATTATTTTCATATATCAGTTTTAAAGACACAGTAAAAACAACCCGTTTAATTCAGAATTGTTAATGTCAAATTGAATTACAACTTAATAAGTCACCTGTGTATAATCTGTAATATAAGTTAAAGACAAATTATAGACCCTGTGAATCACAGCACAGACTGATGTGTTGAACGATTTTGCAATAGAGCTGTGTTCTTGTTTCAGCCAGGTGATGAATTCTACCCTAAAGATAAAAATGGGAAATACATCTACCATGAGACAGACCTGTGTGCTACATGGGAGGTGAGAGCTGCTTCATACTTGTGCAAGTCTTTGCAGCGCACACTTACTGCTAAATACAGCAGTAACTTTATGAATGATTGTGTGGTGCTTTTCCTATTTTTTGTTGTATTTCCTCCACTAGAGGTCTCTGCCTGTCTAGTAATGTAGGTACTGTTCATTGGCTACACCTGTTCCTTGTTTCTTTTGTTTGCTCCTATTATATGCACACTGTCTTTCCCCTTCAGGGTTCATCAAGGCATGTTTGGATACAGCATTTCTGTGCTAAACTCTCTCTGTGTTTACTGTTCTCATGTTCCACATCTCTGATCATTGCCTTGCTGTTTGTATAGTGTCTGTGGCTCCTGTCTCGTCTTGGACATTTTCAGTGCATTATTATGTCTCCTGGTGGCCTGTTAATGACTTTGGACTATGCATTACAGATTCATTGTTGTCTAATACATTTTGTAACTGGACCCAGCCAGCTCCACTGAGTCATCTTTGTTACGTTGTGTGCTGGGTAGGCATTAGAGGCTTGCAAAGATGCAGGCCTGACAAAGTCACTCGGGGTTTCAAACTTCAACCGAAGACAGCTGGAGCTGATTTTGAACAAACCTGGACTCAAACATAGACCTGTTTCCAACCAAGTAAGTTCATTTATGCTGTACATCTCATGCTGTGCCATCTATCTACTTAATAAAACTGCTTTGTTGGAACCATATAGACCCACATCAGAGCTAAATATATCTGTAATCATAGGTGGTCAAACCTCTTTGGGAAGTGGTTTTGTGGAGAATGTACAAATAAATCTCTAATGTTTGTGTGAGGTTTAGTAATTTGATTATAAAAGAAGGAAATCATCCAACTGTAAGACACTGACTAATGGGCTATAGTGAACAGTGCTCTGAATGTACAGAGTCAATGACTCCCACAATTTTAGTACTTGCTTTTGGTAGCTTTAAGTGCTTCATACATACTTGTTAAAATCCATTTCTCACTATTATTTCAGGTTGAGTGCCATCCCTACTTTACTCAGCCCAAGCTTCTGGAGTTTTGTCAGCAAAATGACATTGTCATTGTGGGCTACAGCCCTCTTGGAACCTCTCGAGATGCTTCCTGGTACTAACTGGTCCATATTTGTAACCCTATTTATGCATGTGCTTTTTACTTCAGGCCTAATTTGGTTCAGTATCCTCAGGAACAATTGTAGCAGCTAAGAAAAAGCAATTTAGTACTGATGCAAACTAGGCTATACTCTCTTGATGAAAGTGATCGTGAGGCATGCTGTGATTTGATAATCGGTCCATGGTTCAAAGTATCATATCTTATTGCGCACTCTTTGTTGTCAGGGTTAACTTGAAATGCCCCCCACTGCTGGAAGATGAGGTGTTAGTCTCCATTGGGAAGAAGTACAACAAGAGTCCTGCTCAGGTAGCCCTGAGGTTCAATGCTCAGAGAGGAGTGGTTGTCATCCCGAAGAGCTTCAACCCTCAACGGATCACAAACAATTTCCAGGTCAGTTTATGGTAATTCTTTCTGGAACTTTGCTTAGAAAAGCAGACTGATCAAAACTGTTTGTTAAACCTAACTCTAAGCTTGGTGTTCCCAGGCTGTAATGCTGTCATGCAAACATTTTACTATGGCTTTGTTGGGTGGATCCGATTCTGTTTCAGTGCATTTGAAATAAATTAGTTTGCTGACATAAATTCACACTTTAAGTCAATCTGAAATTAAAATTTCTAAAAATTCTTCAAATCATACCATTTAACTCTTACTTTTTCAGTAATCTTTGATTGAAGTGTGACCTTGTCTCTAAAACAATTTCTGATTTTCTGATTACATCATCATGCACCAACAGGTGGAAAAAATAATATTAACCGATAGTATGATGTTTCATCACCTTCCATCTCCCCCATCTATCATCGAGTGAAAAGTTCAGCTTGTTCGGAAACCCCTCCCTGATACCATGTTTCACTCAAAAGTATGTTACGGTACAGAATTAAAAATCTGTTATGATCACCGATTCACATTGACTCTGATCATCTGACTCAGTGGTTCCCAGCCCTGGTCCTTCAGCACCCTTTGCTCTGCACATTTTCAAGTTTTGTTTGCTCCCAACACACCTGATCCAACTAATCAGCTCATTAAAATCCCCTTACTGAGTTGAAGTGAGTGTAAGCAGAGAAAGCACTAAAGGTACCACTTTACAACAAGACTACCCTTATGAATTGAAATTGTTTGTTAATCATTATTAATTAGATCATGAACACCTTAAAGTAGCTACAATACATAAATGAAAAGGGTAACAGCATCCTGTATCCTATCTTGTTAAACGTCAGATCTTGCAGGTAAACCTGTTGCAACACGGCACAACTGATCAGACGCTTGCAGATGTAGTTAGAAAAAGAGGCTTTACTGTTTGAAACATGATCCAAGCTCGTTGTCAGAAAGCAGGCACAGGTTATATCCAAAACAATGCAAAAATGGCAAAAAGAAAAACGTCAGAGAAACAGGCAAACAAGATTAAAAAGGGCAAAGGCAAAAGTTAAAGTAGAAAGTCCAAAAACACAGCCCAAACGCACAAAAGGCAAAAGACAATAGAGAATGCTTGGTAGCTCACAGGAAAGAAACAATACCTCGCAAAGTTCTAACCCAGAAGCCCGGGCTTATATACTAACTACTCTAAATCATGTGACAAACAGAACAGGTGTGACAGAATAGTATTAGTTAGGGGAACATCGCTTGGCTGTGGATGAGAGAGCAGCAGTCTCGTGATCTCCAAGGGAGTTCTGGGAATTGGAGCTCTCTAGAAAGTCAGACCTAGAGGAATGCATGATGCTGTCAACTTCATCAGATATTCATATTCATCAAATGTAACAGCTCACTGTGCCCTTTTTGTTCGTGTTAGAACTACTTATTAACTAATTCATAACTATTAATATGCTTTTATAATGGTGGTCTTATTGTAAAGTGGTATCACACTAAATGTGCTGAGCAGGCGTCCTGCTTTGGTCTGCATGTGGCTCTTTTACTGCCCTGTTGAGGCTCCACAGCAGAATTAGATTTTTAGGTAAATCTAAATTAATCCTCCAGTAAAATAAAGCTCTGTTGATCGTTCTAACAATAAACGATCGTAAACGCTGGGGCTATATAGTGTATAACTGCTAATTCTCTCAACCTTTAACCCAGCGTGCAGCGCGCAGACTGCTGGTCACCATAGCAATGCAGACTAGCTAGTGGCTAACGAAAGAAGGAACAAAATAGAGATTTAAGACCAATATTAATAGTTTGGAGATGACTTTTTGCATTTATAAGAACTCCGCTGGTTTTCTGATACAGTTAATCTGTAACGAGAAACTGTCAAACACTAAAAAGTCGCAAAGCTGAAGTCAGGTTCTTTTTTCCCGTTCCACCTTAAATGGTGCAGCATTTACATTCTGGCGCCTCAGAACGGTAAAATTTAAACAAGAACCTGGAACGAGAAGCTGACTTCAGCCTTGTAAAAGTCGATCGTTGAGAGAAATTTCACAAGAAGGACAAAATGGCTCTTCTTAACATTTGGGTTGCGACCCCTGGGCTAGTTGAACACACCACCCAATAAAATGTACATTATATAATGCTCTCTGTTAATGATGATTTTGTTATTTGATCTTGCTCAGATATTTGATTTTTCTCTCACTGATGATGAAATGAAACTCATCGAAGGACTGAATAAAAACATTCGCTTTGTGGAGCTCCTCATGTGAGTACCAGCTCTTTCAGGGTCACTCTTTTTTCTCCCTGTTGTCAGTTAAATTTCCCTTTTTTTGAATTCACACACTATATATGCATTTCAAATGAATGGATTATGTTGTCTCTATCAGTTGGAATACAAGTAATTGCATTTGTAGAAAAAGAGCATTTAGTACATTTAATTGACTTTTAAGCCACCTGACATTGTCTGACACTTGAATAAAGAGCACGTAATCATAAATTACATTTATCAGTTACATATTACAGACACTCAGGTTGCCTATTATTGTGAAATTCATTTCCTCTCACTGACAGGTGGAGTGACCATCCCGAGTACCCATTCCATGATGATTACTAAGCCTTTATAAGACGACCAACTTATTTGATGTCAGCATAAAGGTTTATGATGTTCATACTGTTCCGTTAAAATGTGATTAGTCAATAGGGGGCATCATCTTACCATTTATAGTGTGATATAAGATGATGTTGTAACAAGTTGCCTTTTTTGTACGAATGTAAAATCACTGGAGTAGAACAAACTCCATTGGCATAAAGAACCAGAAGACAAATAAAAAGTTCTGAAAGTCTCATATTCAGCTCCTTTACATTTTTAACTTCATTAACATTTGCTGTGTCTTTAATGTACTTTTTGTACAGTATTCTGTATATTTTAGAGACTGTATGTTTTCAGTGATTTCCTCTCCATGAACTCTCTGCCCTTTAATATTTAAAGGTGTTATTCTGTTACAAAACAGTCAGTCTACATGAACTTATCTGTCTTCCTTGTTTTTTTGTTACTGAAGCTGTGAGCTAAACTGGAGTACAGCAGGAAAACTGGACACATCAAATGGTGTCAGTCATTTTGATACTTAAAACAAAGTTTAATCCACATCTACTTCAGCCTAGAGTAGCTGTACAGTGTATGGTGTTTCATCTTTTGCAGGGAGGGGGTAAAACCTTTGTGATGCGAGGCAACTAAACGTGAGCAGCAGCTTGAAAAGGTGTATGACTGTCTTAGCTACACGTGCTGTAGATGAAGCATGTGTTAACTGTTCTAGTATAATAGCTGTTGCGCAATAAGGGAGACCTAGACAGTGAGTGGAATTTACAAATGCGGGGAGAGTCTAAGGCCCAATCCCATTTCTTATTTTTACCCCTACCCCTTGTTTTCGACTGTCACCGTGTCCCTTGGAACTGAGTTAAAAGGGGAGTGGTTGAAATCTTCCCCTATGAAATGAGATAAACCTCAAATAAAAAAGAACAGTACTTCATTAACTGGCTACTAGTGGTGCTGTGTAGGCGACCCTGCCAGTCTGCAGTGATAGTGAGAGGTCAAAATGAATGAAGATTTAAAGCTGTTTAATTCTGGGAATCTGTTCTAGAGCAATACTAGTATTTCCTGACCTGCAATACCTGAAATCGCCAGTAGGTGGAGTAGCGGAGCAGTAAGGGGAGCAACCGACTCTCTTCCTCTTCATTCATTAAATGTGTTGTGAAGAGTGCTTGTGTTGGTGAACCTTCTGCTCACAAATCTTCATTTTTAGGTGGGAATACTATTTAAAAGTTCAGTTATTTCTTCACTGTAGTTTTATATTCGATGTTAGAGCACGTTTGTCGAAAACGCTGGCATTTTTTAGAGAAATTTGTTAGTTTTTCAAACCAGTGTACGTAGTTAGCTAATGGCGCTGTAGCTACATCGCAGCGGTTTTAGGAGAAAGGACAATATAAAGCTACGCCCAGTTCATGTAATATAAGCACTAATAGTATGATTTAACAATTCATTTGTTTAGAATATTAAACAAAAAGAGTATGTGATCTCCAGCTAAGCTGTAAAAGGTGTATTTTGAAGATTTATAGATGGGGGATACGATTATTTATTGTTGCCCACCCCTCATTCTTCAGTGAAACGAAGCTAAAGTCAGCTACTCTCCAGCTTCCTGTTAGAATTGTCCTGTTCCACACTCCGTTTGGATTGTGCCTCTGAAAAACCTCCGTTTGGAGGACCTTGTAGCTCTAACACTTTGCCCTACCCCTCCATCTCAACAACAGTCAGGACACCCTACCCCTAGATGTGAACACACAAAGCAGAGGGGTAAGTGCTAAGTGGTAGGGGCAGGAGGTGAAGTGTTATTGGGCCTAATTATTCTAAAAAAGGGAAAGAAAGTGCACATTCAGTATTATTGAAGTCTACCCTCCGGCCCTCCTTCTGTTTTGTCAGCTCTGTTTTATCATCTGTGGTCAACAATGTGATATAAAAGTGTAGTTACATATCTTTATGATAGTGTTGATCAGCGCTAATACACTAGGAGTTGATCAAAGTGGCTAAAACCATCCATATATATGAACGACTGGTCAGAAGTTTCCTTTATCTTAAGCTTTACTCATTATGCTGCTTGAAGTCTTGTGATAATTGCTCTCCTGCATCAACAATTTCTAGCCAGTTTGTTTCTTTCCTAACTGAGGTGTGTTGGGAGCTGAGTAGAACAAGTAGAGCAGAATCGCTGATGGATTCTAACTAAATAAGCGGAATCATGTATAATCCGATTTTGGGTTCATTTTAAAACCAAAATCTGGCAGTTATGTTAAGTGGCCTTTGGGAACTTTGACTTCCCAAGTGATCTCACATTTAAATGTTTTTCTAAGGATCCCATTAGATCATCTCTTTGCTGTCCTGCAGACAAACCTAGAAGTTCTCTGGGAGGTTCAGGAGAGGTTTTCAGAAAGCATTAATCAAAATGAACTGGTGGAAACTGAGACCAAAGGTATTCAATAGATTACAGATATGTTTGATAAGGAAAAAAAAACCTTAAACCTAGTACATGCTCTCACACCAGAGTGAAAAGATGAGCCTCACGCTGACTGCTGAGAACCACTCCATTCCATTAAGTGATGGCAACAGGATACCCATCATAGGACTCGGGACCTATGGAGATCAGCGAACAGTAAGACTCTGAATCTATGCAGTTGTTAATGCTGCAATAAATGCTAGTGTGGGAATGTGATCAGGTTTAATGGGCATCAAGCTTGAGAAGACAGTTGTCTTCACAAAGTTTCAGGCTATTGTATTCATTTTTCCATGTAAGTAGTTGTGTATTTGGTAACATGCTAATATGACAAACAGAAATTACAATGAGTAATTCTGTCTCTTACAGACTTCTGAAGGTACAGCACGAGAGTGTGTGAAGCTGGCTATAGATGTTGGCTACAGGCATTTTGATGGATCGTTGGTTTATTTTAATGAGCATGAAGTTGGGCAGGCCATTCGGGAGAAGATTTCAGATGGAACTGTTAGAAGAGAGGACATCTTTTATTGTGGAAAGGTACTGCAGTTGGAAGCTACAACTCTTCCTTCACGTGGGAACGCTTAATAATGGACAAGGTCATATGTAGAGAGTCACACTGAATTACGTATTTAGCCAGTACAGTATATGTACATAACAAACATATAAAAAAATAGATGTGTATTCAGTAACTGATGATATTAAACCATTAAGAATGAACACACATTTGAAATTCAAATGTATGATCACATTTGTTGAGCAGCCCACATTAGTTTAAATATGATCGTGGGTCTTTCATCTTTAGGTCACATGTACTCTTTTTAGGTTAAATTCAAACACTGAATTGCTCAAACTTCATTTGAAGTCTTTGTTATTTCTATTTGTTTGTTCTGGATTTCAGCTGTGGAGCACCTTCCACCCTCCTGAGCTGGTTCGACCTGCACTAGAGAGAACACTGAAGACTTTACAGCTGGATTATGTTGATCTGTACCTTATTGAGCTTCCCATGGCCCTTAAGGTAAAGTATTTCTAGTAACACTGAACATGAAACTTGATATTCATTTGTTCTTAGAGTACCCAGAAAGTCCATATAGTGGAAAAGAGTAATAATAATGATAACTGAAATAAAATTGTTTTCTTTTTTGCAAACTAAGCTGCAAAAAGGTCTGTTTTGTATTTTGTAACAAGGCACAATACAGGACATCTTATCAGAACAGAGATTATTTACATAAATCAGTTTTAAAGACACAGTAAAAACAACCTGTTTAATTCAAAATTGTTCATGTCAAAATGAATTACGACTTAATAAGTCACCTGTCTATAATCTGTAATATAAGTTAAAGACAAATTATAGACCCTGTGAATCACAGCACAGACTGATGTGTTGAACGATTTTGCAATAGAGCTGTGTTCTTGTTTCAGCCAGGTGATGAATTCTACCCTAAAGATAAAAATGGGAAATACATCTACCATGAGACAGACCTGTGTGCTACATGGGAGGTGAGAGCTGCTTTATACTTGTGCAAGTCTTTGCAGCGCACACTTACTGCTAAATACAGCAGTAACTTTATGAATGATTGTGTGGTGCTTTTCCTATTTTTTGTTGTATTTCCTCCACTAGAGGTCTCTGCCTGTCTAGTAATGTAGTTACTGTTCATTGGCTACACCTGTTCCTTGTTTCTTTTGTTTGCTCCTATTATATGCACACTGTCTTTCCCCTTCAGGCTTCATCAAGGCATGTTTGGATACAGCATTTCTGTGCTAAACTCTCTCTGTGTTTACTGTTCTCATGTTCCACATCTCTGATCATTGCCTTGCTGTTTGTATAGTGTCTGTGGCTCCTGTCTCGTCTTGGACATTTTCAGTGCATTATTATGTCTCCTGGTGGCCTGTTAATGACTTTGGACTATGCATTACAGATTCATTGTTGTCTAATACATTTTGTAACTGGACCCAGCCAGCTCCACTGAGTCATCTTTGTTACGTTGTGTGCTGGGTAGGCATTAGAGGCTTGCAAAGATGCAGGCCTGACAAAGTCACTTGGGGTTTCAAACTTCAACCGAAGACAGCTGGAGCTGATTTTGAACAAACCTGGACTCAAACATAGACCTGTTTCCAACCAAGTAAGTTCATTTATGCTGTACATCTCATGCTGTGCCATCTATCTGCTTAAAAAAAACTGCTTTGTTGGAACCATATAGACCCACATCAGAGCTAAATATATCTGTACTCATAGGTGGTCAAACCTCTTTGGGAAGTGGTTTTGTGGAGAATGTACAAATAAATCTCTAATGTTTGTGTGAGGTTTAGTAATTTGGTTATAAAAGAAGGAAATCATCCAACTGTAAGACACTGACTAATGGGCTATAGTGAACAGTGCTCTGAATGTACAGAGTCAATGACTCCCACAATTTTAGTACTTGCTTTTGGTAGCTTTAAGTGCTTCATACATACTTGTTAAAATCCATTTCTCACTATTATTTCAGGTTGAGTGCCATCCCTACTTTACTCAGCCCAAGCTTCTGGAGTTTTGTCAGCAAAATGACATTGTCATTGTGGGCTACAGCCCTCTTGGAACCTCTCGAGATGCTTCCTGGTACTAACTGGTCCATATTTGTAACCCTATTTATGCATGTGCTTTTTACTTCAGGCCTAATCTGGTTCAGTATCCTCAGGAACAATTGTAGCACCTAAGAAAAAGCAGTTCAGTACTGATGCAAACTAGGCCATACTCTCTTGATGAAAGTGATCGTGAGGCATGCTGTGATTTGATAATCAGTCCATGGTTCAAAGTATCATATCTTATTGCGCACTCTTTGTTGTCAGGGTTAACTTGAAATGCCCCCCACTGCTGGAAGATGAGGTGTTAGTCTCCATTGGGAAGAAGTACAACAAGAGTCCTGCTCAGGTAGCCCTGAGGTTCAATGCTCAGAGAGGAGTGGTTGTCATCCCGAAGAGCTTCAACCCTCAACGGATCACAAACAATTTCCAGGTCAGTTTATGGTAATTCTTTCTGGAACTTTGCTTACAAAAGCAGACTGATCAAAACTGTTTGTTAAACCTAACTCTAATCATGTTGCCTTGGTGTTCCCAGGCTGTAATGCTGTCATGCAAACATTTTACTATGGCTTTGTTGGATCAGATTCATTTGTGCATTTGAAATAAATTAGTTTGCTAACATAAAGTACATTAAGCACAATTCTTCAAATAATACCATTTAACTCTTACATTTTCAGTAATCTTTGATTGAAGTGTGACCTTGTCTCTAAAACTTCTGATTTTTCATTATATCATTATATCACTGTGCACCAACATTTGGGGAAAAAATTAATATCAACCAATAATATCATGTTTCACCACTTTACATTTCCTCTATCTATCATCGAGCAGAAGGCTCAGCTTGTTCGGAAACTCCTCCCAGGCTTATTACATACTAAGGCTTATTATTGAGTAACTACAGGGACTTCAATGCAAACTGGTCGAGCTATTCTTAGGATATAGAAGTGTGTAATAAAACTTTGGGCCAACCGGTGGGCACTGGCCATTCAAGTGGTTTAATGTGAATGTGCTGTTTACTTGTGTGTCACACAGAACTGAATCTCAATCATTTGTGGTACATATGGGCTAGCTGAACACACCACACACTAAAATGTACATTTTATAATGCTCTCTGTTAATGATCATTTTGTTATTTGATCTCGTTCAGATATTTGATTTTTCTCTCACTGATGATGAAATGAAGCTCATTGAAGGACTGAATAAAAATATTCGCTTTGTGGAGCCCCAAACGTGAGTACCAGCTCTTTCAGGATCACTTTTCTCCCTGTTGTCAGCCAAATTTGCTCACTTTACTAAATTTTGCTTACTTCTCTATCAGTTAGAATACAAGTAATTGCATTTGTAGAAGTGATAATACATAATATGGTAGAAGCTCAAACTTTCAGTCCTGGTACCAAAGTGCTCCATTTAGTCTGTTAAGAGCATTTAATACATTTAATTGGCTTTTAAACCATCTGATATTGTCTGACTCTTGAATAAAGAGCATGTAATCATATATTACATGATTGTACATTCAGATTGCCTTATACTGAAATTTATTTACTTACTGTCAGGTGGAGTGACCATCCCGAGTACCCATTCCATGATGATTATTAAGCCTTTATAAGACGACCAACTTATTTGATGTCAGCATAAAGGTTTATGATGTTCATACTGTTCCGTTAAAATGTGATTAGTCAATAGGGGGCATCATCTTACCATTTATAGTGTGATATAAGATGATGTTGTAACAAGTTGCCTTTTTTGTACGAATGTAAAATCACTGGAGTAGAACAAACTCATTGGCATAAAGAACCAGAAGACAAATAAAAAGTTCTGAAAGTCTCATATTCAGCTCCTTTACATTTTTAACTTCATTAACATTTGCTGTGTCTTTAATGTACTTTTTGTACAGTATTCTGTATATTTTAGAGACTGTATGTTTTCAGTGATTTCCTCTCCATGAACTCTCTGCCCTTTAATATTTAAAGGTGTTATTCTGTTACAAAACAGTCAGTCTACATGAACTTATCTGTCTTCCTTGTTTTTTTGTTACTGAAGCTGTGAACTAAACTGGAGTACAGCAGGAAAACTGGACACATCAAATGGTGTCAGTCATTTTGATACTTAATACAAAGTTTAATCCACATCTACTTCAGCCTAGAGTAGCTGTACAGTGTATGGTGTTTCATCTCTTACAGGCAGGGGGTAAAATCTTTGTGATGCGAGGCAACTAAACGTGAGCAGCAGCTTGAAAAGGTGTATGACTGTCTTAGCTACACGTGCTGTAGATGAAGCATGTGTTAACTGTTCTAGTATAATAGCTGTTGCGCAATAAGGGAGACCTAGACAGTGAGTGGAATTTACAAATGCAGGGGAGAGTCTAAGGCCCAATCCCATTTCTTATTTTTACCCCTACCCCTTGTTTTTGAGTGTCACCTTGCCCCTTGGAACCTGGTTAAAAAGAGGTGAAATGTTATTTGGTCTTAGTATTCTAAAAAAGGGAAAAAAGGGACACATTCAATATTATTATTCTTATTATTATTAAGATTATGACCTGAGATACTAAAAGCAGTGCATTTGCCTGACTGTTGCTATATATTGTGTTGCCAGAGCAGTATGTAATATGCGTATTTCTTAGCAGGTTGGGTAGGTTCTCTTTTCTGGGAGTGTGAGTTTCTGTTACCCAAGTTTGTGTTCTGAATAATAACCTTAGGCGGGACTCTATGGCAGAACATGGACAAGCTATAGGTTCATAGTGCATATTTCCCTCTTGAAAATAAGAGCAATTTTCCTCTCTTGTACACTGGCTGAGTCAAAATAAAGCTGCATTATGGGCACGAATTCTGAGTTGTTTATGCTTCTTCTGTGTACCTCCCATTCTATAGTATGAATACTAATGGAAATCATTGATGATAAAATACATGTGATGGGCTTTCTAATCATAGGGCAAATTTTACTTTAAAAGCATGTCTGAGCAGGCAAGCCCCTTCACTTTTGCTCACTTGGTTTTCATGTATAGTAATTACGTTATATTGTTTCCATCATTTGCCAAGATCCACGAGGGAACTAACTGAGCCTCACCCCAGGAATAAAGCTAGGATACCCTCCTAATAATGGAATTCAGGTGTTTCAGCCACAGCTGTTGCTAGCACATACCCATAGCACATAAAATCAAGCACATACCCATGCAATCTCCATAGACAGTCACTGGCTATAGTGTGGGTCGTATTGAAGAGCGCACTGACGTTAACCGTGGCACTGTTATAAGGTGCCACTTGTGCCACAAGTCAGTTAGTGACATTTTTGCCGTGCTGAATGTCCAACAAGCTCATATGGGTGGAATGGTGAGATGTCCACATACTTCTGGCTACATAGTATATCATAATTATGATTAGTATCTCATAATTACTACTTAGTATCTCATAATAATGACCTATCGTATAATAATGAGACATTATGTCAGAATTATGACTTATAATCTCATAATTATGACTTGCGATCTCAAAATACCTCTTTAAGAAAACACACACAGGAATAAGATGCTATTCTGAACAACAACCAAACATAATGTTGGCAGTATGGAGTGCTAGTGCTTTTCACAGCTAAGCTCAGGAGTGTCGGGCCATGGGTGATGATGGACCTGACTAACCAGAGCACACCCCCTTGATGGGGGGGGGCCTTACAAAGGCAATAAAGTTGATTTTCAGTTCAGGTTCAGTGGTTTGATCCATGTGCACACACTTATCATGTAACTTACACATTGTTGTCTATACAGAGCGGGTAGTGGCTGTCCACCAATTCTGATCTGGTTAAAATAAAACCTACGTCAGGATTTCCTGAAACAAAACGAGAGGAGAGAGACAGAGAAAAAGCAAAAAGAGGGCAGGCAACTTCTGATACCTTTCTTCCAGAAAACAGGACAGCCTGAAATGCCGAGCAGAAAATATGTTGTAGTAATGTAAGCTAGCTAGCCGTTAGACATTAGCTCCATTTGCAGTCCTTTGTAACAAGCACAAGCTTATAAAGAAGCACAGGATTTGATTCAATGCAGCAAGTAAGCATTTTATTTAAATAGCTAATGTAATAGACAGAGTTTCTGTGATTATAACCCAAAAAAGTGAGCTCAGCCAAGCCGCTAATCTGTAAAATGCACACAGTCACTGAGGAACAAAGAGTAGGCACCTCTTCCCTCTCTGATGCAGCTGAAGACATGAGCTGTTCCAATAGCTGTAGCTGTACCAACTTCTAAGCAACCATTTGTTGAGCAAATTTTTGATAAAAATTACAGGAAATATATTTAAATATTTCCTTTTGTTTTGTTATTTTGAATCCACTCTGATTACATTGATAGTTTCAAATGGAGACAAAGCTTAGTTTGAAAGATTATTTTTTGCTTTCCTTTGTTTCATTTTTCTTTCCTTTATTCTTATTCATCAGGACACACTGGCAAGGAAACCTACATAAGCGTCTCTGAAGTAATATTAATCAGAAAATAAAAGAAAATCATACAATACAGCAGATTAACTTCACTGTTTTCAGTGCTTCTTCTTCACTTAGCCTATATTAAAACTCAGAATCTTTTTGTGATAATTTATAGTTACCCACAATCACACCTAACCTCTCCCCCACACACACAACTTCACCCTCACCTCCACACCTATCCCCCACAGACATATACATTCTCCTCAATCAGCTAAACAGAAACCGTTATCAAAACAAAATATTTTTAATGTCTTAAAACACTAAATTACTGGTCAGTGAAATAAATCAAACTGAGCCATTGTCGCAGCAAACCAAAAACAAAAATAAATAAATAAATAAAAATTAAGTAGTTTATCATTGTGGTGTGTGTTAGAGAGAGCACACTTCTCTATATACTCCTCTGTACAGTGGTGAACTGTGATTATTAGAGATAGACTTTGAAATCAGGCCATAAATGTCAAAACTGGGACAAAACATGAACAAAAACCCACCTCTACAATAATGCTATTTTCTGCTAGCATTGCTACAGAATTCTATTAGTTTGTTAGCGCTAAGATAACGACAATACACATGAACATTTTGTTGCCACTGTAGATTAAGCACAGACATTTGAAGCTTCTAAAAGACATTCCATATTTTACTTGAAGCTTGTGACAGACATATTAGCATATATTTTACACGGTAGCTGTTTCACAGTGTAAAGTAGTGAGGCTGGTATTGAGCTGCCGCTGCTGTTTTTTGTTTCTAACAACCCATTGATTAGGCTGCAGTTCTTATTCACAGTGAGTGACGAATCTAGGACTTCCAGAAGATTTGTTCTTACAATACTGGTCCCACTTATTGGAAATCAAAATGTGATTAGTTGATTCCTCTATCACTTTGTAGTTACCTGGGGCTTCTTTTCAACTTTTGAAGTTCTTAACCAATAGGAGAGCTCGCTTAGCTACATCTGTCTAGATTCCACAGAGAAAAACAATTCCTCATTGGTCAGTTTCCTGCTGGGCATTTAGTTCTCAGAAATAAGTAGGCATCATCTGAAGGCTTCAAAGGCCCTGAGGGTTCAACTGTGCACCCTTGTCACAACAGGTTCTCAGTTGTTCTGAAGGCATTAAAGGCCCTGAGGGTTTACTTGTAATTCCTTGTCACAACAGGTTCTGAGAGTTAACATAAGTGAACATATATAATTCCTGGAAATTCACTGGAAATGCATATGAATTTAAACCACTGGAGTCAGGCTCCAGAAACAAAGATATTTTAATTAATAAAAAGTACTACCACCTGCATTATGATAAAAATAATAAACAATACATTATGATTTCATGTGTGTTGAAGTGTTAGTTTAACAGTTTCCGAATGTCTACACAAGTGTAACTTTCAACCACTTGATCCTGGATAACATCATCAATTCTATCCAAGAGCTATCATGAGCATCCTGTGTATCGGATTCTGAACATTTTCAAAGGTGTTCTGTAAACTATCCAATGTACTGAACAGAAGACACACCTAGTGCGGCAAAGTGAAGAAGAGAAAAGAGCTGGGCTGGCAAAACCTCAAAGTTCCCCTCAGGGTAAAGAATCACGAGTTGAGTTCAGTGACACGCGGTCTAATATGACTCATAAGAAAACAAGGAGAAAGAATACTATTAGAGGAATAACAAGTGATTAGCAAAATAGTCTTGTATACCAATGGTTCAGCACCAGTAGAACAAGTGCAGCTGATTCTAGTTTCGGATTATCTGTGTATGGAAAACTGGCATTTAAGCTTCCTAAAGGCTTAAGATCACTGAGGAGACAACTGCAGTATTTCATCTGACCATTCAGTCTCAAAATGTGTTGTGTGTTTGTCCTTGAAGTAACAATGCCCATGCCTCATGCGATGACTGGTTCAGTTGAAGCTCTTCTTGTTATTATTTTTAAAGAAACGCTTTTATGAAAGAGGCCTCCTGCTGTTTCTTTTGGGCCACTGAACAAATGCTAACGATTCACTCTATAGGAGTTCTGTAACTGCATGCTTAAACTCGTAATTAACGGCAGGCTTGTTATGCCTAAGGCTGTATGATTTTAATAAGGGGAGACAGAGCATCTTCTTCAGATGAGGGCATGGCTGGTCAGTGACCTGTGCCACCAAAGTGAGGAACAGTCTGGACTGTAAACGTCTGAGAGGAAAAACACAATCTCTTGCTTTGCCCATTCCTGTAAAGTCGTTGGAAAATCACATAGTGTAACAATTACTTTAGACATGTGTTTTTGGCCTTTTTTCAAAGAGGTGAAATGGAATGTCAGTGCAGTAAAACTTTTCTAGAGAACACAGTATCCCCTGTAAGGTAGTTGTGGAATGCTGGAAATCAGCTCTTTTACACACTTAAAAAAGATGGTTCTTCATGTGTTCTTACATAATAATAATAAAGGCATTGGTTCTATTTAGAACAATGAGTTCTATATAGAAACCTATCATGCTTAAATGGTTCTTTGCTTGGTGAAATGGTTCTTCAGATTGATGGAGAATGTTTTGTAGATGGTTCTATATATATATATATATATATATATATATATATATATATATAGGTTCTGCTACTGCCATTAAATCAAACTTATTATATACACAACATATAGCACCCAGTACTGCCATTTGAATCAGAAACACTGACTCAGTACAATTCATCCTACCTGTCAATTCAGTATATCATCACTCAATGTACCTTTATGCAAACCATCAGTGATGAACTGAAGGCAATATTTTCACATTTAAATTTCACATCTGAGTCTTATGTGATACCTACAGTACTCTTTGAAAGTTTAGAATAACTGTTCAAAACATCTGGAAGGATTTTTCATTAATATAAAACCAGTTTCTTGCAGGTAAATGTATACAGTGATTCTAATATGATGCTGATATTGTAACAATTAGTAGAAAGCTGTAAAAATACAGACATTTTCAATGATGAATGGAGCTGTAGACATTTCCATAATAACAGAGAAAGCTGTACAGCATCGGGAGTAACAGTCTAATAAAATATATATTCCTCATATTTATATTTATTTTCATATTCAGTACTTCATATTCTAAAAATGGTGACCAAATTTTGCTTACCAAATATTCATTGTTATTGCATGTCAAACTACTACTTACTGTAAATACATAATAATAACATTCACTGTTTACTATTTCAGTGTTTTGGCATTTACAGGGTCATAAATTTTCATTGGGCCTCATTCAGCAATATCTTCCTAAGTTTTCTGTTATATTTGTTCTTGAGAAAGGTCCTAAGAAAAAGTCTACATCAAATTCATGACGTGTTCTTACACCAGAGAACTGTAACTCCCTTAATCAAGAATTCCATATAGAACCATGAACACTCAAAAAACCCTATGCATGATTATAGGGTTCTTTGCAATGTTAAAGGGTTCCTTAGATTGATGGAGAATGAGCTGTAGATGGTTCTATATAGGACCTTTTTGAAAAGGGTTCTATATAGCACCAAAAGGGGTTCCACTAAGTCAAAGATCCCTTTTTTGGTACTGTATAGAATGCTTTTTGCTAAAAGTGTATGTTTAGCTATTTTGGCATGGCATTAGCTAATTTTGTTACTTTTTCACTTTTGGAGACAATCATACTGTAATGTGATCATTTTTGCAGTATATTCACTTCTTACTATGTAGGTCTTTTCCACCCTGTGTTTCTGATTTGATTACTTGTTTGCATACCTGACTACAGATGTTTTATTTCTTGTTCTCTTTTTTCTCTTCTTCTAGTGGCCTAGCAGTCAGATTTTGCAGCACTGTCCAGTGTAGAAATAGAGACCTCATGAAACATGGACAACAACATGACTGTCCAGCGCAGCACCAGGACCAACTGTGCCAAAGATATTTAAAGACACTTGACAGACTTTAACATTTGTCAAGGCCTCACACCCCTGATTATGTTCTGACACCAGAGGAGCTTTCCTAGTCAAGAAACTGCTGACTGTGTTTTTAACCATTTTGATTTTAATACAAATGCTTCTTTGAAAAATGGGGGTAATATTTAACTTTGGGGAAAATAAAGAAGCACTTTGAAATGCTTAAAATGTTAGCGTTTTACATAAATACATTAAGTGTATTACCTGTAAGTGTTTAAGAAAAATTATTTGTGTTGTTAATACAACCATCTTGACCATCTTGTATTATAAGTTACAAAGTATAAAATAAATGGTCATTTAAATACAGTGGTTGTACACTTTAACTATATTTTAGTGTACACTTAAGTAATGTTGGAAGGTTACATATACAGCCCAATTTCCAAAAAAGTTGGGACGCTATGCAAAATGTAAATAAAAACAAAATGCAATGATGTACAAATCATTTAAACCCTATATTTCATTGAAAATAGTACAAAGACAACATATCAAATGTTGAAACTGAGCAATTTTATTGTTTTTTGAAAATTATGTGCCACATATTTGTATAATATATTGTGTGTAGAGGAGTGTGCTCTCTCTCACACATATACAGTTATTTTTTACTTATCAAAGCATTAATGCATACTTAAATATGTGCCATTTTGAATTTGATGCCAACAACATGTTCCAAAAAAGTTGGGGCAGGGCAACAAAAGACTGGTAAAGTTGTATAATGCTAAAAAAAACACATTGTTGTTGATTGGCAACAGTTTAGTAACATGATTGGGTATAAAAAAGCGTTTCAGAGAGGCTGAGTCTTTTAGAAGTAAAGATGAGGAGGGGTTCACCACTCTGTAAAAGACTGCACGAGCAAAAAGTGCAACAATTCAAGAATAACGTTTCTCAACATAAAATAGCAATGAACTGCCACTTTTCATCTACTACAGTACATAATAACATTAAAAGAGAGAATCCAGAGAAATCTCTGTATGCAAGGGACAAGGCTGAAAACCAGTATTTGCTGGTCGTGATCTTTGGGCCCTCAGGTGGCACTGCATTAAAAACAGACATGATTCTGTAGTGGAAATCACTGCATGGGCTCAGAAACACTTCTGAATACCACTGTCTGTGAAAACAGTTTGTCACTGCATCCTCAAATGCAAGTTAAAACTCTAAAACGCAAAGAAGAAACCACATATAAACAGGATCCAGAAACGCTTCCACCTTCTCTGGGCCCAAGCTCTTTTAAAATGGACTGAGGTAAAGTGGAAAAGTGTCCTGTGGTCCAATAAATCAACATTTTGAAATTATTTTTGGAAATCATGGACACTGTGTCCTCTGGGCTAAAGACCACTCAGCTCGTTATCAGTGCACAGTTCAAAAGCCAGTATTCATGATGGCTCCCCCATTAGTGCATATGGCATGAGTGACGTGCACATCTGTGAAGGTGCCAATAATGCTGAATGATATATACATGTTTTGGCAACACATGCTGCCATCCAGACATTGTCTTTTTCAGGGAAGGCATTGCTTATTTCAGCAAGACAATGACAAAACCACATTCTGCATGTATTACAACAGCATTGCTCCATATTAAAAGTTTGAAAGTATTAAAGTATTAAAACTGACCTGTCTGCAGTCCAGACTTGTCACCACTGATAACATTTGGCGCATTATTAAATGAAAAATATGACAAATGAGCCCCCGAACTGCTGAGCAGCTGAAATCCTATATCAAACGAGAACAGGACAACATTTCACTTTCAAAACTACAGCAGTGTCTCCTCAGTTCCCTCAGAGTGTTGTTAAAAGAAGAGGTGATGAAACACAGTGGTAAACATGCCCCTGTCCCAACTTTTTTGGAATGTGTTGTTGGCATCAAACTCAAAACGTGCACATATTTTTCAAAAAACAATAAAGTTTCTCAGTTTCAACATCTGATATGTTGTCTTTGTAGTATTTACCTTTAAAAATATGGTTTATATAATTTGCATAGCATTGCATTCTTTTTTATTTAAATTCTGCGCAATGTCCCAACTTTTTTTGGAAATGAAGTTGTATAATGCTGCAAATGTTGTTATTGTGTACTACAGGTAAAATACTTGTAGGGGTATATGACATACAACGCTAAGCATGTATTTGAGTACACATTAGTAAATACTTAAAGTACATAATTTAGTATACTAAACCAGCATTGCAAGGGCACAAGGCAGATTCAGTAAATATACTTCACTGTGTTTGTAAATGATAATTATACACTTGGACTATATAACTTGATATACTACTTATGTAATTAAAGAGCACACAGTGTTAATAGTATTACAAACATACTTTTAGCACAATATAAATGTATTTTTAGTTCAGTTTTGAGTTCAGTTCAGCAGCATAGACTGGTATACTTAAATTATATCTTAAAAGTGGAGAAAATAACATGATTAGTATACCTAGGATACATAAAGTTACATGACTTAAATACATATCAAATATACATGAGTAGTGATTTAGTACCATTTAGTGGTTCCAGAATAACATAAGTATATTTGTCTTTTAGCTCTACTTTAGTAAACCTTTTTCACAAGGGTAATCTAAACCTGTAAGTTTCACAAACCTCAATAAGTGAAAAAAAGCCAAAAGCTGCCCTTTATCAGAAACATTAAACAAACTCCCTCAGTTAAACTAGCTAGTTAGCAGACTACTCTGAAAAATTACTCTAAAAGGAACACCAGTGTAAACAGACAGAGTGAGTATACAAAAAGTAAAACAACTGAATCATCAAGGCTTGTGGGCTCAAGGGGTCCTTAAAATCAATATGGAAATGTTAAAAAAAAAGACGTCCTCAGGATGTTTCTGGTTCATATAGTTAAACCAAACTGGGTGTACACCAAAAGCATGGAGTAATGTCATGTAGTATGCATGTACCTACTGTATGTATTCACATATTTATTTGCAATATTGCAACTATTGAAATAGCCTATTGATCGTTTCAGCCAAAGCTTTTGCCAAGTGTCTCTGAGTGCTGTGGCCTTGCAGTGTTTTAATGTCAGTTCAGTCAGTGTGGTCTGGCCAGGGTGGTCTTCTGACCCAGTGCCATATTCTCCCTGCTCAGCCTCCTTTCTCACTAAAGACAGACACTTTGTGGGCAGAATGGGAGAGTAAAGAGTTATGCAATCTTTCAATCACTCTCAGAGGCTGCACAGGCCTCCAGTGTGCTGTTTCATGAATGAGGGAGACAGAAATTGGGGGGAGGAGCTGATAATGCTTCATTGAGGGCTGAGTGGTGAGCCTTAGCAGGATCCCTCCTGTGCCTTCAATCACATTAAATAGTCAAACCTTGAAATTTATTGGTCACATCTCTGAGCTGAGGACTGCACTGCAGAATCCAAATGACAGGTGAGTGATGCCAAGAGGAAACGTTTTTTCATTGTCATGCCATTTGCAGGCTTGAAAGCAAATGCTTTTATAATCTTGAGGAAATCAACTGCGTGAATCTAGTGCTTCAAAAGATTTTATGTTTCTTAGTTTGCTTGTCACAGCTGCTGGTTAAATGTTAAATGTCTAATTAGCAGATTGGTGAGCAACAGCTTGCTTAATAAAAATGTATATTGACTGTATCTATATTACAACAGCTTTATGAAACATCAGTTTTCTGTTCTTAGTTTAGTTTTGCAGTGATGTGCAGGTCAATGACATTTTTGCATCTGTCTATGGACTTGCCTGTGAGTTAATGATTATCAGTTACTCTGTTCTTTAAAAGCTACACTTTATATTGCATGCAGGCTTTTTAAACTATGTGATTCCTGTAGGGTTTCACTCAGCACAGTCAGCACGGAATATACATTTGTGAACTATTGTTCAGGGTATTTTGGCACATTTGCTAGCCGTAAATGTCCATCACTTTCATGGATCAGAGTAGAAACTTGCAGTGTGCTGAGACTGGCTGGCGATTCTGTTGCTTGTGTTGGAAAGTTACAAAGTCTCGCCTGAGCTACCGAAGAGAACGGCATGTATTGCACAAGTATGTACCTGTCATGATGTGCATAAAGGAATTTTACCTGTATAGCTCTTCATGTGGTACTTTTCCATTATGACACCCATTATATACAGGAGGTGAGCTGAAAAGTTTAGATAAGGATGACCTGAAATGTTAAAAACTAATAATTCAACAAAGATTTTGGGGCATTTTTAAACATTTAATGGACTGCAAAGACTGAATAATCAATATTTACTAATGTCAAATGTAATTAAGTATATTTTTGGGCAAAAGAGTAAAAGACTTCTGTGTGACCTGTACTAGCCTTTGTATGGAAACATGCCTCTGAAGGCTTAGTTTATTTTAACCTCTTAAATGCCCAGGGCACACTGGCAGGCCCAAACTTTTATGACACACTTCTACAACCTAAGAAAAGCTCAGCCAATTTTCTCTGAAGACTCTGTAGTTACTGGATTATAAGCCTTAGTATATAATAAGCCTGGGATTTTAATGGGTTGAAAGGGTGTGAAGTTACATCATCTGAGGCTCAACCATGTGATCCTTTAGGAATTAACAGTAATATTTTTGCTTCTTCCAACTTTCTGTTTCCTTTAAATATTTGAAGGGTTTTGTTGTAAAACATAAGACCACTTTCAATAATTTTCCTTTTTTCATGACATACATTGTTCACACATAAAATAAACATCAATGCTATATTATGTTTAATACCATCTGTGTTAGAGAAATAAAATCAGCTGCTGTTCATTCCAAAAACTTTTATTATTTTAATTATATCCAAAATGGTTACAAATGGATTCACAGCATTTTGGAATGAAACTCCTTTATTTTGCGGCCACAGAGCACAGTCTTGAAGAGTTACTGACCACTGCTTTGTTGTCTGACAAGGATCCCCTGCAGTTTATTCTATTTCTGAGGTGCATACTAAGTCACACCAAGTGAACGATGACCACATCTTGAGCCTCCTGTTTTTTGTCTATGGAGCTGCTGTGAGTTTTTCAGTACTTGGTAATCAGGCCACTTTGTCAGCTCCCTGAGCCTGTGAAAATCAAGGTAAACTGTGATCAAACTGCCTGGCACCAAGGCTTCTCCTCAAACACAAAGGCCTCCAAGCCACAGGGCCTTTTTCTGCTCAATGCTGCCAACCCTTCATTCCCACAAGTTCCTTGTTAAAGCAAGAGTCTATTTTTACCCCCCTTGCCAGGCTTTTCAGTACTGGGCTGGCAATGGATGGAGGGATGTGGGGTGGTGGGTGCTGAGTGCACCCCCCCTAGCTCCACAAGGAAGAGAGAGAGGGAGAAAGAGAGAGTGAGAGCACATTCTCAAGGCTTCTGGCACTGCGGGATGCCCTTGTCGTTTGTTGTTTGAAACCTCAAGTATGTCGAGGGAACAGTTGTCTCCGTCACCCCTGGGGAGACAGACGGAGATCTGGAATGTATTTCTTCTCTCGGATCCCTCAGCACTGGACCTCTACTGGCTGAAGACTGGGGCAGTCTCTTCCAGCTTGATCATTAAATTTGTCTTAGAAATGATCAATTATTGCTAACGATAACAAAAGTGTTCACTTGTTGCTTGTTTTAACAGGCAGAGAAATTCTGTCATAAAAAATGGAAGTTACTGAACAGCTCTTGAAAAAACATCCATGTCTTTCACTGTTTTTATTCTCAATACAAACCAAAAAGTTAGAAGGCCAGGCTCAAACCTGTTGATAGAGAACGCAAATCAAATAGAAATTTTATCTATTGTGTAATTCACTACATAATGATAGAGTTACATAATGAACAAAAAGGTAATTACTCTCACGAGTTATAACTTGACGCCTAAGGGTTAATATGCTTCTTTCATTCTCTGCTGGGACTTTTTTCTTTCTTTTCTATGGCCAAGCCAGAGCAGTGCAGGGTCTCGAGTGGCACGGAGCAGGTTGTTAATGCGAGCTGACAGGAGTGAACACAGTCAGAGAGCGTTCTGTTTGTGGGACAGAGAGAGCTCTTTCACTGATGCCACTGCCAGGTCAGGAGAGCGGCCCACAATGCTGTTGTAATTCAGCACTATGGCCTGTGTGCATGTAGCACAACTGAATGATACAGGCAACGATGTGTCTATAAGTGGTGCTATGATGAGGGACTGGAATGTCAGTGCGTTTTGTGGGCTGTGAATAAATTGGGCTTGGGCTCTTGAGATATTTTTATGAAATTACTCATTAAATTACAGATTAGAATACAGCAAATATGATGTATTTGCTTGGGGAAACCCCCGGGGCCTTCTAGGCCTTCACAGACAGTCTAAAAGACTTTTGGGAACAAAAAAGATATGTCTGTAATTTTTAGTTATTTTTTTATTTTATAATGTTTTGTATTTATACTTATCAACTACTGTAGAAATACTTTGTCACTATTAGGTTTTAGTTGGAAATAAAAGTGTTAAAATCTTGAAATTCTTGGAAAATGATCTAATCAGCATTTTTCTCAATGGTATCTATGTAGATACAACAAAGCTTATACTCCTATTTGTTAGGCCTTCAGGAGCTGGACAGGAGGCCCTACAAGTCAGATTAACTACTAACCTGATTAAGAGTTCACAGTGAAATCAACCAGTTATGTTTTGCTTTTCAGATGAATGTTAGGAGGGACATACTTTTTTTTTTACTTTATCTGTCTCATCTTTGAAGCTTTTTTCATATGTTTTATTCATTTTATAATGGCATATGCATTTTTACAGCAAATTGTTTCTGACTGGAACTCAATACTGTTATTTTCTTGGCCTAAAATGAAGGCTCTGCTTTAATAGTCATGATTCACCGCTGCTTATATGGACATGCATAAATCCAACTGCAGCAGAATTGCTCTTTCAAATGCACCCTGAACTATTTACGGTGACAGCAAAAATGTAATAATCTCTGGATAAATTCTACACATCTTTATGTGCCGCAAAAACAGGAATATATAAGACCTCTTTGCATGAGTGAAGAGTTTTTCATTGCATTCCATTCACACGGGAGAAAGTAAACATCACTGCTCTTATCTTTTGCCTTTTACTGTCTCATTCAAATCATTCAAATCTTTCTTGTATTGCCACAGGAGAAAAGGACATCAGGTGTAAAATGGACCCTTCTAACGGTTTGAATCGGTCACTGGATATTGTGCCCACCACTGAAGAGAAGATGAAGGACAGAGGCCAGTGGAGCAACAAGCTGGAGTTTGTGCTGTCTGTAGCTGGAGAGATTATCGGACTGGGCAACGTGTGGCGCTTCCCTTACCTCTGTTATAAAAATGGAGGCGGTAAGCATGAGAGAATGTAAAAAGCAGAGCACTCTGCAGTGCATGATCTTGGTTTTTAGTTTCCTGGTTTTCTTATTTTGAGCAGAAGTGTTTTAGCCCTTTAAAGAATTACATATTATAGCCATACATTACAGTAGCAGCAGCCAGAAATACAGATATGAAAGTTAAATATGTTAAGTGTAATGTTGGAGAAAGTTTAATAAAGTTTAAATGTCTTATTTCAGAACTTATTTAACTTATTTAAGTTAAAGTTCTCAGTACATAAAAAAGTATTTCAATATAACCATGTAAAAAAATATTGAGGACTATCCATAAACTCTCCTATAAACACCTCTCTAGTAATTCTGGCCACCAGTTTTACCTCAACTGACACAAGTAATTAATGTGTGCTTTTTTAAAACCAGACAAGCATTTGCATTGAGCCACTATAACACCTGTTTGTTTTATTTGCTGAATCATTCTTGTTCCAGAATGAGTCTGTGCTGCATTTTATAGTGTAATATTGTTGCTTGTAAAACTAAAGTGAAGCACATGTTTCGCACTGATGTAGGATGCACTAACCTCTCTGTGTTACAAGAATGGAATTTGGCATATAAATTTGTGAGACAAAGGCTTTTTTAACAGAACACAGTGCTTGAGCATCAGTAATTCAGTGCTGAATGAAGAAAAGCAGCAGAGGCTAATTACCCAACAGAATGTTCTGCTCTATTTTTGGGATGTAGTGGTTATTTTATTTTATGACCTAACTTCACCTGAACCAGTAAACTTCATTAATTTTCCATCCAAAAAAAGACCAGAAGCTTTTTTCATGGGTTTGCAGAAAAGGGAAATTAGTTTAACATGTGTTACCAGTCTGCCAGTCTGGTAGCTCCTCTGTAGAATGACAGCGCAGCAAACATTTATTATAAATTCCAAACAGGGTTTTTTGGAGCGATACAGTCAAAGAAGCATTTTGACCTTTCAACAGATGGGTCATTTTTGAAAATTTGAAGAACTTTTTTGGACATTAAAAGAGTCTCCATATGATGGAAAGGCTCACAATTAGACAAATACAAAACACAAACCCCCAAAAAAGGTAAAATGCATCATTTTATTTATGCTTTGGAATTCATGCAATAATGCTGAAGATGCTTCAAAAGCATTTTTTGGGCAGAGAGAACTAAAGGAGTTACTAAAGGACTTTTAAACAAAGTCGAAATAATAGTAAATATCAAATTATACGATTATTTCAATATAATATTTCACGGTTAACCAAAGCCATATAAAGATAAACTCCAGAGCACCTCCGCTATGACAACTGAAAACACCTCATTCTTTAAATATGTAAAGTGTGTGGATGTGGCTCTGGAACTCCTGCCTAGCAGTCTGATGTATCTCCAGCAGGGGCGCTAAGAGCACTTAATTCACTTTCTGTATTTGTCATTTAGAGAAGAATCAGCCATAAACTGCAGCAGGATCTAACATATGCACATGTTTGCAGTAAACACTTTCAAAACAACAGGTAAAAAGTTTAAGTTTTAAAAACATATTAAGTTACTCAGTATTATTCATCCATTTGAGCTCTATTTAATTGTTTGCTTTTTAGGACAAATTTTCAGCCTTTGTTCAATTACAGATGAAAAATAAGGGCTTCTTTCAACCATTTGTGCTGGCTGAAATTTCAGTACATCTCTATCAGTAAACAGGTTTTCTTAGAACCACACACCTAAACCAGGAACCCTTTAGGAAGCTTTTAACCTGTTATGTAGCTAGGGCCCAAAGTTTACACACTTCATTAAGCTAACAATAGCTCAGCCAGTTTGTATTGAAGTCCCTGTAGTTACTGAATAATAAGGCTTCGTGTGTAATAAGTCTGGAATTTCAACGGTTTGACAATGAAATGAAAACTTACATGAATAAGTTTGAATAATAAGAATGGATAAGTGTCATATGTAGTCATGAGGTTTGGATTTATTGCTCTGAACATTTTGATTCTGTCTTTTAAATTAAGCATCTCACAAAGGCATTGGAATATTTGTAACTCTGCTGGCAGGTCTTGTCCATGAGTTGTTTTGCGTTCACCAGGTGCCTGTGAAACTGACCTCTTGATCTGCTTGCTGGGGTGTTGAGAACAGAGCTGGCTCACTGGGTCACAGATGTTGTTTGATGAGTCAGTTGTGTCTGGAAGTGGAAGCCAGGCATGTTGGGGATTTACAAAAGAGCCGTCTCCAAATTTCGAAATAAATCTCCTTTAAAGCATGACTAATTACAGAGTTTTGGTGTTACTGCCCTCTAGAATAAAGGATAATGTTGGAACACTCTGTTGCTGTTCATTTCGCTTGTTTCCTCAGTTTTCCTCCATTGTCTCTCTACCACACAGGTGCTTTCTTCATCCCTTACCTGATCTTTCTCGCCACGTGTGGAATTCCTGTGTTCTTCCTGGAGACGGCATTGGGTCAATACACCAGTGAAGGAGGGATCACCTGCTGGAGGAAAATCAGCCCACTGTTTGAAGGTTTCAGCACCACCTGGGAAAGCACTACCGAATGCTCCATACTGTCACGTTGTTCTTTTCTTGTTTTTAATCACTCCTTTTTTCTACAGGTGTGGGATATGCCACCCAAGTCATAGTGGCCTTGCTGAATGTCTATTACATTATAGTTCTGGCATGGGGGATCTTTTACCTGACCTTCTCCTTCTCCTCGAGCCTGCCATGGGCCTCCTGCAACAACACTTGGAACACAGGTGCCGATTTATTTACCATAATCTTATTTAACAGAGTCTCTTGCTCATTTACAAAATCTGCACCTGACAGTGCAAAACAATGTCAATGTAGCTTCCAAGATAACATCTTACTGACACTGTCATTCATATTAAATAATGTTTAGATTCTTGCATGGAATTTCAGCGGAGGAACGAATCTATTGACCAAAGTCATATGGAGAACGCCACCTCCCCAGTCATTGAATTTTGGGAGTAAGTATTTCCATGTAGGCTACAAACATCTACCTCACAACCACAGACTTACTGAATACACTGTACATTTCTCCACAATACCTCAATAGCCTTTTTGTGTGGCTAAATAGAATAATGATCTTACCGCATCATTACAGTTAATCTTAGAGTGAGTCTTTTGTTTGACTAAGGTGTAATATGTTTTAATCTTTGCTTAATTAGTATTATTCCTGTTTAATGCCTTTTAGGGTAGTTGTCTTGCAGTTTGTGTAATAGAACCTTACAGTAATTATTTGATGAAAAATCAAATTTACACAGTTTACCCCTTAATCCAAATGTCAGCCAAGACAAATTTAGTATTCAAAGTTTGCTTCCTTTTTTTGTACATATTAATAGGTAATTTAACTAACCAGTGCAAGCTCCATGGCTAGATCATCATCCACTTGCCTCAAACCATGTCAGGTTGTTGAAAATTCTGTCAAATGTTTCAAACTGGAAACTTAAATTCTTAAGATATAAACAAAGTCATTCAGTATGGTTTGATGTGAAATGCTCCAAAACTTACTAAGTCAGAATTGTTCGCAGAGGTGGTGATAGGAACCAAATGTCTGCCTGATGCCTGACACTCTGATTTATGATAGGATTTTGGCCTGAAACACATCTTTTAAAACATATAGGTACATGCAGGACATTCTAATGCAAAACAGTCCCCAAAGACAACTTATGCTTTCAGATTTACCACTGCTTTACCATCAACATTTCAGATAAAACTGAAGACACATATAGGTTCACTGATCATTTATGATAGTAAGCAAAAATGCTATTTGCGTTACAGACATTGTGACCCCTGGTTCCTTTCAACACCACTGTAAAGAAATCTGAGTTTCTCTACAATGAATCATTTCACATCAAAACACTCTAAATTTACATCTCAATGATTGAATTATAAAGAAAGTGTGAAAAGTTTCTAGGATTCTCATTTAAAGGAGCAGTGTGTAAGATTTATTAGCAGATATGGAATTTAGTACACAAAACCATGTTTTCTTTAGGGTATAATCATCTGTAACTATGAATTATTGTGCTTTTGTTAGCTTACAATAAGCCCTTAATTTCTATATACGAAAGCAGGTCCTCTTCCAACAGAGGCCACCATGTTGCGCCGCCATGTTTCTATAGCAGCTCTGAATGGACAAACCAAACACTGGATCTAAAGAGTGCCTTTTGCGTTTTTCTGTTGAAGTGGCAGCTTGAATGTAGTGGCACTATAGCACCGATTGGAAGAAGTAGAAAGAGGAACAAGCAATGGTTGCTGTCAGTGCTTTCTAACTGTTTTGTGTTGTGAGAAGTTTGAGAACCCAAATTTGACAAATGGAGGATCACATTTATTCATACCTATTATATAGCACAAGAAAAAGCAAGGGAGGGTGAATCCTCATTGTCAAAGCAGTTAAAATATGTAGAAGCAAAACAAAATCGGGACAGGCGATGGCAGAAAACCTGATGGCCACCATAGGTTCTACTACAGGCTTGGAAAGGGACGGGGTGAGGGAGGGGTTTTCAGTCGATTGCAGTCTGCAACATCACTGCTAGATGTCGCTAAATCTTACACACTGCAGCTTTAAGTAATCTCAAATAGACTTGCTTATGTCGTTTCAAACACTGAAAACTCTGCAACCTTCAACTTTTTCAAACAATTTTCTTTAGTGCTGAGCTCCCTTTCCTCACCTACGTCTCCTGTTTGCTTCGGTGTTGTGTGGTTTTAGGAGGAGGGTCCTGCGGATCTCCTCTGGGATAGATGAGATTGGTGAGCTACACTGGGACATGGCTCTCTGTCTGCTTCTCGCCTGGATCCTCTGCTACTTCTGCATCTGGAAAGGTGTCAAGTCCACTGGCAAGGTGAGATTCGGTGGATGGTACATTTGCAGTCCAAATGAAAAAGAAAGATTTATGCTTGCAATCTGGAGCTATAAAATGATTCAGACTACAAGTGTAAAATTAGATGTATGATCCTCTGTGTGTATTGTGAACTATATATATATGTCTGGAAAATGGAGCTTCCTAAAGAGTCCTTAACCTCTTTAACACATTAACTATAACATGCACTTTCTATCTGTTTTGGGTCCCTTGGTTAACTATACTTTATTTCTAGGTTGATGGAATTTGTTTTGGAAATGTGTATAATTTACAAACTCATCTTTGTAGGTCAGCAAGCAAGTCAACATTTATAAAAGTGTTTCATTGAGATTTTTATTGTGTCAACTGTACATATTTTTTTATATCAAGAAAGCTGCAATTGTGCTGTTTTATCTTTGCACCGCCATCTTTGTGCAGAGATGTAAATTGTTTTCACAAACAGAGGGTTCTCACTCCTCCCCTTTCACCTCTCATTGCTCGCTAGCAGCTCAACATAGAGAACCAACAGAGTTACAAGGAAAGATATTTTATTTCATGATATTAATAAAAATATCCATTATAGTGCCTGTAGAAAGAGGCTATAACACCATTAGGTGAATGTTATTAGATTATTAGTTTAAGGATAACCTTATAGCATTAAAGTTACACTGCAAATCTAATTGCAGGTTGTGTAGCTTTTTACTTAATATTTCCATGTTAATGTAATCTACCAGGTTGTGTATTTCACGGCAACCTTCCCCTACGTGATGCTGATGATTCTGCTAATCAGAGGGATCACTCTGCCAGGGGCTTCTCGAGGGATTCAGTTCTATCTCTATCCTGACCTGGGACGCCTGGCAGACCCACAGGTATTGCATTTTAACATGATTTTAAACATACTAACCTTCATCTAAATTGTTCAGGTTTATACACAGCTGTCTTACTGTAAAAAAGAATAGAATAGCACAATGGTGCCTCTCATTTCATTATATGGGACCTCTTTTGGGTTCTATAGTGTGTTTTGAAGTCTTTAACAGGAGATTATCTTGAGGCTGAGGTCTTCTGGGGTGAAAATAGTAAAGGATTTTTTCCCTCTTCTACACAGGAGGGGTTCACCCAGGTGTTTGATATGTCCTAGAACTGGCCGCTCAGCATGAAAACACTGTTTGTTTCATCTCTTGGTTGTGTCCAGCTGTGCATTTTGACCTTTGCTCCATCTTCCCCATCTGTTCCAAAAAGAGGGCTCCCCCATGGGGAGGAAAACAGTGATGTGTTCAACAGAGCCATAAAAACACAGCAATTTAGTACATCTCTTCTGCTTAAACATCATGAGTCTTAAGAGCTGTGAGTGTCTTTCAAGTCAAAATAGTTTTGTATTCACATCAATGTATTTTAAAACAATATTCAGAGTATGAAATCTGCTTAACAAACAATTTAATTGAGGAGAAAGTGCCATGAAAGTCTTTTTGGAAAAAAAGTAGATGAACCACTTTTGGCTCTCTGGTTCTTTAAAGAACCATTTTTGTAAATCAATCAGTGTGAGTGTGGAGAACCTTTTTAAAGTTTAGAACCTTAGAAAGTTTAGCACCTCTGCATAGTGTAAAAGTTGCATACCAAATAAAAGTGTTTTGCAGAACCATACATTCCATTTCAGTCCATTTAGGAAGCTTTGTGTTTGAGAATGTATAAATAATTTCATTACAGCTTCAGCAGATTCATTATAAAGTAAAATTTCCATGTTGATTAGGCACTGGAATACGAGTGGCATCAATGTCACTCTGTATCAGATTGATATATTTCCATGCACAATCATAGGGAATTTACTTGCTGTTTTTAATAATAATAATAATAATAATAATAATAATAATAATCATGGGTCTAATTTATATAATGCCTTTCTTAAATACAGGGTAGCTTTACACAAGCAAGATATACACTGGAATACACAGATCAACAGTTGGCAAAATAAATAAAACATAAAACATGCAGAAAAAAATTTGAAAGATGGGAATAAAGAGAAATCACAGAGATTTTGTGGAAGTAGTGGTAGTCCATAGTGATAGCGAGCAGAATTGGCAGACTGTAGAGTATGGACAGTGACAAAGATGGCCAATATTTCACATGGACCCTGTCCATTTTTGACACTAACCTATCAACTACCAGTTTCAGCAGGGGTGGTACCTGCAGTGGCCAATCAAATTCCACCTCAGCCTCCAGACATGCCACTGAATAGCACCTCCCTGTGGAGAATCTAAACATTAGCGAGTCAGTGAGTTACAGTTTCATGTGGGGTCACCACCTGACTTTCCTGGATTGTCTTGAATTTTGGTTGTCTGTGCAGGAACAAAATGACCTCCATTCCTGGACACAGAATGTCCTGAAATCCAAGAATTTACATAGGTTAATATTTTGCATGAAGTTTAAACTGCTTCTTTTTATCCAGTCAAAGAATGGGGTTAATTGGTTGAGATTAATATCAGTGTCTTGACAATTATTTCAGAAAGGTAACACTGCGACATGATAACTGAGAACTGACATCTGTCTACTTTTGAATGTATCATGAGCATAGCTAACCATCCACTCAATTTAGAAAAAAATCAAGCCACTGATTGAGCGCCCAGGAATTTTACAGGGTTTATTTGACAACCTTGTTCCATGAGGTGCTTTATGTCTAAAAATCATTGCTTTACATGAAAAAAAACAAAGATGGTGCAACCATGGTTGCCTCATACCCAAACACCACTCCACATGGAAATACCATGGAAATTCAAGGCTCTGTAATTCAGATTGGACCAGTTGAGTGGAAAAATACTGTCATCCATATGTTTAAAAAGAAGCATAGGGGATGCTGTTTTGTCACTGTCAGGGTTAGAGAAGCATTCACTAATCACTGCTTTTTCCATTTCAGCTTATTTTTCTCATGCTTTTGGCCTGGAGCAATTCACATGGTTTCTTGTGAAGAAGATTTAAACTTTCAGAGATGACAGATGAGAGAAATTATGAGACAGTTACAAGATGCATTTGCCGATGTTGCTGACATTGCTTAATCTGGCCTCAATCAGACCCATAATTTTGTTTTCTTCAGTAGTACAAACCAGCTTAATGGCTGATGTTTGTGAAGCTGGTGAGTTGTTTCAAATTATACTGAAAAGAGTGCTAAATCCTGTATTACTGAGTTTACCCTGACCTTTTTTCAGGTATGGATGGATGCAGGAACCCAAATCTTCTTCTCCTATGCTATCTGTCTGGGGTGTCTCACAGCACTGGGCAGCTATAATAAATACAACAACAACTGTTACAAGTAAGACCACCGTTGTAGGACTGTTCCTTTAGCCATTGCATTTAGAGGCTAATGTATTTGTCATTTTAGTTTATTGTGCATGATTTAAATAGCAAAAGAAAGCCTTATAGCCCTCTGTTCATCTGTTAACTCTTTTTGGTTTGCAGAGATTGCTTGGCTTTGTGCTTTCTGAACAGTGGCACAAGTTTTGTAGCAGGATTTGCTATTTTCTCTATCCTGGGCTTCATGTCTTTTGAGCAGAACGTACCGATTTCAGAGGTTGCGGAGTCAGGTTCGCACTGTCTGCTTTCTCATTTCTGTTGGAACTTGTAGATTTAACAAGCTTGCATATACATGAAAAGTTAGACTGACAACTAAAGACATGTACCCTAAATAAAGGTATCACTGTATCAGCTGTTTTTCACAATAGGGATCATTCTTCCCAGCATAATTTGCAAAATGGATTATCATAGATAACACATGCAGTCACTTGTCTGCTAATATTTACTCTTATGTATACAGTCTATTAATGTCATGTTCATATCTTCCTACGCTGACATGGCTGCTGGAAGGTATATGCAGTGATGCATGTAGAAACTGATCTTCACTTGTTCTAGGTCCTGGACTGGCCTTCATTGCTTATCCACGTGCTGTGTCTATGATGCCTTTCTCTCCTGTCTGGGCCTGTTTCTTCTTCATTATGATTGTTTTGCTTGGCCTGGACAGTCAGGTAAGGGCCGCTCATGTAGTAACTTGTTGATTATAAAAAGAAAGTCCAAACCAAATAAATGCTGCTATTTCAACAACTTACAGCAGGTTCAATTTCAGGTTAATTCAGAATGCTGTTATGTTTTTAAGCTGTGGAGTTCATGAAAGGATGTTAAAGCTACTCGAGAGAGTTTGTGTCTATTAGGAAACAAAGGCTTTATTCTGAAAACAAGGACATACAGTGCCATTGATGCAAAGCACTGCTCTCATGAAGCGCCAAAAGATATCTGAATTCTAATGGTGCTCCCCTGTGGAGAATTTTCCAGCTGCTAAACATGAGTGAGTGAGTGAGTGAGTGGGTAAGATGAGTTGAGTGGGTGAGTGAATGAGTGATTGAGGTGAGGTGAGTGTGAATGGCAGGATAAGGTGAGGTGAGTAACTGACTGATTGAGGTGAGGGGAGTGAGTGACTGACTGACTGACTGAGTGAATGAGTGAGGTGAGGTGAGTGACTGAGTGAGTGGGTGAGGTGAGGTGAGTGACTCTGAGTGATTGAGGTGAGGTGAGTGAGTGGGTGAGGTAAGGTGAGTGAATCAGTGATTGATGTGAGGTGAATGAGTGAGTGGGTGAGGTAAGGTGAGTGAATGAGGGAGCGAGTGAAGTGATTGAATGAGTGAGCAAAGTTATCATTTAGCCTACAACAGATTTTGTAGGTTAGAGTCGTCATCTCTCCGTCTGATTTGTAATGTCATTGTGAAAGCATGTAAATAGCTATGATGCTTCGCTGCATAAATATCTGATACTGGCTATCACGGAACAGTTTTATTAAACTCTGATTAGCCTCTGGTTTGACTCAGCTTGACCCTTGTTGTCCTGCTTGTTCTCTCATCACTTAGTTTGTTTGTGTGGAGAGTCTGGTGACGGCAGTGGTTGACATGTATCCATCAACGTTCCGTCGTAAAAACCGCAGAGAACTCCTCATCCTCGCTGTGGCTATCGTCTCTTTTCTCTTGGGCCTAATAATGCTGACAGAGGTAGGGCTACTGACAAAAGAACAGCATCTTCAAAACTTAACCACAAATCGTATATGCTCTATCAGTAAATTTACACCCGTGGCTTAATGAATTCATGGTAAGCAACCGCTGAAACACTGACAGAGATAAAACGGAACAGTTAGTATGACCACTGGGATATTGCAGCATGAATGTCATCCACGATCCATCCGCAGGTCATTGTTGAGGTTGCAGACCTGCTGGAAAAGGATAGCATTTTAATGGGATATGTTCAAAAAGCTCTTTGTCTTTGTGGGTAAAAGCACTATATTTGTGGTGGGCCAAGGACCAAAAAACAAGACAGTGTTTGTTTAAAAAGTTTTTACATTTTTATTTGATAACATTATGCTACAATTTTTGCATTTTGTATAAATGTATACTTTGTACAATTGTATAATTGTTTCTAAAATATTTAAAAATGCAATTTTACAGGTTTTGAAATTTTGTATGTTATATATAGCATGAAATATGCTTCTTCTCCCATTAAGTGAAGTGGTGGGGTTAGAGTAACTTGCTCGTGGGCCAAATTAAATGCAATCATAGGCCTAACTTTGAGCAGCCCTGGGTTAAGGAGAAAGACAAAAACAAGTCAGGAGCTTCAAACCATAATACTTTTAGTTCAGCCATCCATAAAAATACTCAACTAAATTATAATTCTCTCTCTGTCTCTCCCTCTCTCTCTCTCTCTCTCTCTCTCTCTCTCATAGGGTGGAATGTATGTCTTTCAGCTTTTTGATTACTATGCAGCCAGTGGGATGTGCCTCCTGTTTGTTGCCATTTTTGAGACTATTTGCATTGCCTGGATTTATGGTGAGAACATGATCATAGATCCTTCTATTATAAAACTTATTTGTTTAATTTGTTTATTTTTTTTTCAGCATTAGATCAAATTGGTATCAAACAAATTAACTGTCTAATGATGTCCAAAAACAAAAGCTTCATACCTATTTTAATGCTACATTTGTGGTTAGCCTGCATGTGATGATATCAGAGATCAGTTGAATCAAGTCTGAACAAATAAATTGTGCCTATTTTAATGCTACCGTTGACATTTAATCCATCTATGCTGCATATCTCTTTCTGGCATGGCATTTATGTGACTGCTCTCTTTGCTTTCCCAGGTGCTGACCGTTTCTATGACAACATCGAAGACATGATTGGCTATCGACCTGGACCTTACATTAAGTGTTGCTGGCTGTTCCTGACCCCGGCCACCTGTTTTGTATGTAACGATTTATTGTTACTGAGGGGCTTAATCAGCTTAAATGGCAAAATGATTCTGTTACTGAAACATTTTTGTTACTTGTACATTTTTTATAATATGGACATTAAATAACCATATTTTAAATACAAATTCACAAATATTTACTTCACTTCCAGCCACTTATTTACTATTTCACCAATAATTTTTTTTCTGTAGGGCACCTTTGCCTTCTCTCTAATCAAGTACACCCCTCTGAAGTACAACAATGAATATGTGTATCCATGGTGGGGCTATGCGCTGGGCTGGCTGCTGGCTTTGTCCTCCATGGTCTGTATTCCTCTGTGGATCATCTATAAGATAGGCACTGCCAAAGGAACTCTCAGAGAGGTGCGACCCTCCAAACACAACAGCAACATGCAGGCCCATATTTCAATCTCATAATTCCTGTTTGATCTCATGGCTTAATTTCTTTTTATCCTATTTAGAGATTCCACAAACTGTCCACTCCCTCCCCCGACCTGCCTAAAACTAGACGTGAGCAGGAGAAGCTGCAGGCCATCTTTTCTGCAGACGGGGACAGTCTTCACCAGAGAGGAGCTCCCACCAAGGATGGATACTTTCCAGTCAATGAGAAGGAATCTCACTGCTGAATCCTCTATGGGCCATGATGGACCACCTTACGTTTCTGTAAAGGTGGTGCTTGGAAACCTGATACCTCACACTGTCAACAGCAGCCAAATAGCACCAAAACAGAGGAAATGGGGGCCACCCTTCAGCTTCCTTTGAGTCTAAGAAAAGACCTCTGTCGCCCTCTGTAGGTACCTTTTTGATTTACCAACAGCTCTGGCCCTTTTTTGTTGGCCAAACCGTGGCCTTGGTCTAGGCCAGCCAAAAGTTGCAAAGTCCTTCTTTTAGTCCCCGCCTGCATTTTCCTTCTAATAAAATCCACAGTTACTTTTAAGCTTTATGGTAAACTCAGCCAATAACTAACTCCAACCTTTTAAGGTGTTTAAATAGTCCTGTCAGAAATAAAAAAGGGCTGAGAAGAGTGAGGTATGAGATGAGACTGGATTGTGATTTTCTGTTTTCCATTTTTTGCCCACCCAGTTTCTGCCTTTGACCAGCTTGAGCAAAAAAAGGCAGAAATAACACAGGTTAGCAACGCACCTTTTTCACATTTGGTCATGTCCAAAACATTATAGTCAATGTTTACTTCACTAAAAATGACAGTACATTGCACTGATGACTGTTCTGCAAAAATGTCCATCATTTTCAATGTTTTATACACATATCAGTATTATGTTGAATAAGCATTTAACAAAAACCTGATGATTTTACATGGAGGGATAGATACTGGAACTCTCCGCTGAAGTGATTGCTGTGATCTGCTTTCTAAGGAAGCAAATTTATATTTTAGCTTTCACATGGAGACTTCGTTTCATTACTGAGGCCACAAGTTAAAACACTATGCACTAGTGCAGTAGTGCCATTGTGGTAGAAAGGACTGCAAAATGAAGGAACTGCATGAAATATACATACGTCAAGATTTGTTCCTTTGCTAATCATTGAGAAAAGAGGACAGGACTAACCCAGAAATGCTTCACTGTAGTTTAAATGATGAAGCAAGATGCATTAAACAATACAGTGCAATGCAATGGGCCAATTTCACATCTGTAAATAAAAAAGCACAGAAATGCAGAAGGCAGTTGAGGTTATTTTAACTGAAATTCAAGTGCTCCTAAAGTTATAAATGTTTAACCACTCTTTTTGAGATAACCATTTTCAAACATTGTCACAGTAATAGTCTCATTGTACACATTCTTTGGCCACCAAAATTCAAACATCTTGTATTCATGAACAAGAAATTTTACAAACATATAGTACTGAGGTTGGCAGGAATACAAATTTCCAAGTAAAAGATTTACACAATGTGTGTAAAAATTACACAGTACAGTGTAATACACATTAAAACATAAAGTAATGGTAATTGCATAGCGATGGATGGAAAATAAAGACTGCCTGTTCATGTTCAACTAGAATGTACTGTTATATAAGCACATGAAGATTGTTGACTTTTGGTTAAAGTTATTTGTATTAAAGCTTATCAGAAACCTGTACAGAGGTTAAACATTATCTTAGCTTTTTAGATTTTAGGTTTCAGATTTAAATTCAAGTATATAACTTTTTGTATTGAAGATATTATTTAGCTAACCAGCTGTCCCTTCTCCGTCCAACATTCTGACCTTATGTGTGTACAGAGGTGGGTAGTGACTAGTTCTATTTACTCAATTCCAAGTAAAATTTTGATACATTTGTATTTTCCTAAGTGTTTTCAAATGACATACTTTTACATCTATTCAAGGTTATCTGTAAAGAAAGGAAACGTTTAATTCAGATATACTTTAGTCCTTCACATTTAGTTCTTAATTCCTTTTTGCGTTTAATCTCATGTATGTTATGTTGGTACAGCTTCTGTACTGCTTCATGGTTGGTCACATCACTTACTCTAGACGTTTTATTTTCCAAAAAAAAGTTAAATTCAAACTTAAACTTAAACTTAAATTCAAAAGTGATGAATAGAGCCTAACAGTTTTTATGTTAATACATGCTGAATGTAGATCTTCTGCAGTTTTATAAGTTATTCTTAAACACTTTTTTGAGCTGCTACTTTTCTACTCCTACTAGTTTTTTTTTTTTCATTATTTTTTGAAAAGGTATTTTTACTTCTACTTGGGTCATATTCCATTGAAGTAACAGTACTTGGACTTGAGTATGAGTTTAGAACACTCTACCCACCTCTGTGTGTACATACTTCTATTCTTTTTGTGATGTGATGAAGCATGCTTGGCAACAATGACTAAAACTGTGACCAGTCTATATGTATATAATATGTAAAGAATGGTTAAGTTTTATTTTTAAACATTAAAAAGATTTTTTCTTTGGGAGACTATGATTAAATATACCAATTAAATCCATACTGAGCTGTTTCTTTGTCTTCACGGTGTTCTGAGGAATCTGTTCAATTCTTGAAGACTGTAATGTCAGCATAACTGTTTTGCGTCTTCTTTGAGCTTAAATATAAACACTTCTTAAGCATATTGATGATGCAACGATGAAATGTTTGGTCTGTAATTATTAATTATTAATTTGGTCTGTATTGCTTATAATACTACACTATAGGCTACATGTTTAGAGATGTTAAGTCAGCAATTTTTTTCCCTATGGAGGACAACCAATGGCTCATCTACCTGCTGAATGCTTTTCATGTTGTTAGCATATGTAAATAAGAGCCTAATGTGCAGGTGCTGGTTTCCATGCAGCTTAAGTTGAATCTCAATTGCGCTTGATCACTTCTTCAAGTACATCACTCTGGGTTCTCGAATCTGCAATTGATTTTACTCAGCGACGAACTGATGAATTGTGAATTGACACACAGGTGAAATGCATCTGTTGTATGCAGTATGCATTTTTTAGTAGTCCAGACTCATAATATGAAATATGCAGCAATAAAAAGCAATATAAGGAATAAGTATGTAGAATGTATTTTTAAGTACGTAGTACTGATGGGCGTACTTGAAGTAGTGAATTTCAATGCTTCAAAATGTTTGTGACACTGCTGTGTCAAAACAGTACTGAGAGTCACATATCAAAGTGGTATCCAAGTCATTTAAGCAAATAAACCTTCATTCTGTCTAGTCTCGCAAGCCATACATCTGTTTGGCATTAGAGAGTCTGGTGTGTTTTGTCATGCAACATGGCCAAGGCCACCTACTTTGACACAAAAAGACCATTTGACTTACATGACCAACCACAAACAACTGATGTAGGGTGAAGTATTGGGGCGGGCCATAGTCAAAACTGTGCCACACCAAAAACAGACCCACATGAAACAAAGCAGTACATGGGAGGTATTGTGTTTATTCATGATTAACTGCTTCAGACCAAATCAATAACTCTTAAAGTTGGATTTGCTGAAGATGCTGTGTCTGATCAACTTGTACCAGCACAACACACACTGACACGTCACCACCACATCAGTGTGTGTTGTGAGAATTATCCACCACCCAAGTAATACCTGCTCTGTAGCGGTCCTGTGGGGGTCCTGACCTTTGATGAACTAGGTGAAAGGGGACTAACAACGTATGCAAAGAAACACGTGGACTACAGTCTGTAACTGTAGAACAATAAAGTGATCCTATATGGTAAGTGGAGCTCATAAAATGGACAAAGTGTGTAGAAACATATACACATACTACAGTGTGTATGCATTTATATCTAGCATGTGTCTATAGAGTGTAGAATGCATCATCATGTAACATTTAATATTCATCTGTAGTATATTCTATGAAGATATATTTAGTATGTTTAAAGAATGTAGCATATATTATTACATAGCACATAATATGTATGTGTAGTATGCTGTGTGCATTATTATGTATTAAGTATATTATGTAGTATATACTACAGGTCATCCGTAGTATGTGAGATGCTGTACTACATAATGTTTCTGTAGTATTTTGTGTGCAACTATATAATGTAGGATGCATTATTTAAGCAAGAGAACAGGAAAGGAGTGTGTTATCATTAAATAGCATCACGGTTGTGATTTGGTCGCAGGCACGAGACGAAGGCTTTTATACAACAGTTAAATAAATACAGTAATAAATTAATAAACTGGGCCGTGAACGCGGCATTTAATACGTTTTAATGTTAGCAAATCCTTCCAACAAATTATAGTTCCTTAACAAGCAGCTCGTTGCTACGTCAGAGTAACGAGCTCTGCTCTCTCATTGCACAGCCGGCAGTTCATTCTCCAGCTCCACACACTACATTCCCAAACTGTCATCACCACTGAGCAGCTTTTCAGTCGGCAGCTGTGACAGAAGAAAACCTAAACAACGTGGAACTGGCCAGAAATGAACCGAATACCATTCGCCAAACGTGTAGTCTCATCTTCAGAGTCTGACCAAATCGGCTGTCGGTCAAATGTAATCTTAAGTATCCATTTTTGGTTTGTGAGCAAAGTAAGAAGTAAAAACGTTCAAATGGCGTGAGCGTCTCCTACAGCTGTCAAAGTCGTTGCTTAGCAACGGCGTCTCAGCGGAGTGGTACAGTGTTTGTGAAAAAACCTGCTGTTCTGGCCGAGACAGAGCCGTGTGGAGAGAGAGTCGCCGCACTCTCCGTTCACGGCTATGGACTGTTTTTTTTCCAGTAATGGCGGATCGTGGAGCCTCTCAATGGTTCTCGGAAGTTAGCAGCCAATACTAGCAGCGCAGCCACGTTGCAGCTGAATAGACAGGTTGTGATGCACTTTTGAAGGGTAAAACATTTAAATGTATATTTTTGTATATTATCAGCACATCTGAATCAAATTAACATGTATATTAAAGCATGTTAGTGGATTATCCCCGATTAAATTAGTAGATTTAGGGAACATTAACAGATAACAGATCAGGCTAGGATACTGAGTAAAGTTAGCAACACATAACGGTGACCATAAACAGCCTAGTGATTGTAACTTCCCTGCTCTCAGTGTCATTTCGTCCACCGTTGTTGAATCTTAGAAAAGGCTTCTAAACGTGATTTTTCACGGGGTGGGTGGGAGTTAAATATTAACCTAGTTAAATATAACATTGGGGCAGAGCTTATAGAGGGGAGGAGGTGGAGATAAAATGAGAATATCGTTATCCATTTTGGAGTACGAGCTAATGTAGTTAGGTCACACAATAAAAAGAAAGAGCTGTTTTCGTGATACGTCACTACTGATGTGGATTTAGAGCGCATATTGGAGACTTAAGAAGAGAGTAAACAAATATAAGACTCACGGATTGAGTGTTTGCAGACTTTGTGATTCTGTTGACTGTTATCTGTACATTATGTTGCAGTTTAGTTGATTTTGGATTGATGGCAAGAACCACGGGGGGATTCAACTCAGCCTAGAGACTCCTTACAATAAGACAGCACCCTCACCCTGCAGCCTGAGTCTCAACTGCCTGGGTTTTACAACTCTTTATCTGTTCCTTATTTTTAATAAATATTAAGCTTCCCAGTTTGTGAAACGTGCAAACGCAGTGTCAGATTTTTGTTGCAGCACAGCAAACCATGGTGGGGACTATATGCAAGGACAACATGGAGAAAAGGGCACAGACAAACTGCCTGCCAAGCTATTCATGTTTGAGTTTATTATAGCTTTATTTACTGAATTAATTGCAGTAAATAAGTGCATAGTAAAAAGACAAGATACATAAAATATGTTTATATGTGCACAAACAAATATAAATAGCTGTGTTCTAATATGTCCTGTCCTGTCTGGATGTGATGTGTTTTAATGTACCCTTTTTAATAGCAGATATTTGCATACACAAGCCAAACAAATTTCTTGGGCTCCTTCTCCTTCAGTCCTTTCTGAAAGTCATAAAGTTTACAGTAGTCATCAAGTCATGAAGATTATCTAGGCCTTGGGTTTACTGAAACTACCATTAATTAAAGATGTGTTAATGTTAGAAACATTCCTTCCCCTCCCTCTAAATATATTAATAAAGATGAGGATATGACTGATCTTAACTACCATACAAGTTTAAGAACATAATATCTTTAATACTAAAAAGTCAAAGCAATAATAGCAACACACTTTATAACCATGTTGATGTTAACCCAACATGTCAAGAAGGCAAGTAACGATAGCTGTTTAATCCTCAGTAGCGAGTTTGAGTTTGAAATATATCATATGGTTGTAACTATATACACATGTTGGTTTTCTATATAAATATTGTAAATCAATGCATTTATTAACTGCTAATTACCAAAAGACGCAGTTCTGTCACACTGTGCTTATGGGTTTAAATTGCCCGCCAAGAACTTCCTGAAAGTATCTGAAGTCTATGTGAATCATGTGACTGTCAAGAGTTTTGAACATCTGTTGACGCTCTTTACGTGGCTCTGGGCAAAGTGTGCCAGAGAACATGCTTTAAGGTGTCTGCCAGTTTACTGATGTCAATTCAGTGTGTGGTAGCATTAGCTTACGTGTAACAATATTCATGCAAGTTAAATATGGAAACATTCTGTTTACAAACCTCTTTTTAAAACTCTTGATATTATTAATTGGCCTGTTGTTTAGTAAATTTGATTTCTTGGTTATGGATTTTGTTTTTGGGCCTCAAAACTGTTGGCCTTATTTTGGCGACATATGTACTGGAATGTTTTGTCTGAGCAGTGTGTCATCCGGGTATCTGTTGCATACTGGAGAAATTCATGTTGGTTACTACTGCACACTGTGCGAGCAGTATGTAGTAGGCTATTTGCTGTATCAACAGCCCATTATTGTATTATATGAAAGGTGGGATGACAGGAATGTCCTTCAAATGTGTTCTTTTCCAAGATTTAAGAATTTTGTTGTTCTTGGACAAATTAGAATTGCATGTTGTCTGTCTGTAGTGATCTTAAATGGCAAACAAATTTTCAGCAGGTTTCAGTACATAAAATACTCAAAATTATGTCATTAACAAATACAGATTGAGAGAAAGTCAGAGCTTTTGATAGTTCTGCTGAATTTATAGAAAGATCTTTCAATTTCTCTTTGCCAATTCATGCCACACATGAATGTTAACTGCAGTCTCTTTTTCTGACACCCAAAGCCCCCAGTGAGCACGCCTAGGGCTACAGTGGCAAGGAAAAACTCCCTCTGCGCCAAATGAAGAAGAAACCTTGAGAGGAACCGAGACTCACTGGGGGAGCCAGTCCTCCTCTGGCCGGTGGGGTGGTCCAACTGACCTATCCGGCTCTGCTCACAAATGCTTTCTTTCGTAGAAACTGTTGCGAGGTTGAAATAGCTCTACAGAACATTGGAAAAAATCCCATTCAACCAAATGAATTTGGTTTGGAGTTTAGATTCATTTCACCAAGTTGAGTTTTCAATTTAAGTCCAATCTAAATTCTATCAAGAAGAGCTACGTCGTTGTAGCTAATCTAAACTAGG